AAAACATTCAACAGTTAAACAAATAATAATTGTGGCGTTGAGTGCACACATTTATCTATCAAAACCAACAAAAGGTATATCTGAATAAAAGGCTTTATCTTTTAAGGAGTTCTTCTTAAATTCGTTAAATTCCTAACCAATTTTTCAACACCTATCACGATTCAGACAAATTTGTTTGCGATATTTTTTTATCATAATGTAACATATTATTCACATATTATGAATAAATCTTATATATGTAAAAATGATTTTTAAGTGTTCTTCATTCAAAATAAAAATTTTCTTTTTTATAACCCATATAAAGTATATATCGAAATAATAAATAACTAAAACAACAGTCTTGTAAAACAATTAATTTATATTCTTAACAGCTCTTAAATGGTACTATGAGAACTTATTTTATTACTCTATTATTTGACACGACATATTTTAACCTTAAACGTTTTTCCTGAGTACCATCGATATTTTTGTGAGATCAATAAACTTAAATGCTATTAGGTCCCTTAAGCGAAACGCGGACTTGGGTGAACGACCCTAGTATTTTGTCGTGAAAAAAATAAAAAACCGTTTAAATCATGTTAATGAGAGAACAACGGTATGATAATATGAATTTAGACCAATGTAATATGGGTGATAGAATATTATTGTAGTCGAGCCATATTACAGAGATGCATTGATTATAATATTTAATGGTAGTAAACGATTGTCTTATAATATAACGTTTTATTTCACACAAACTTTTCTTAGCTTTCGAGATTTGAAAAATCAGAATGGATAATTGGACAAAGGCAATACAAATATTGAAACTATTTAAGTTAGAAAAACAAGCTAATACTTGTAGTCAAATTTTTTAGAGTGTATTTATAATACACTGTATTAGAAATCGATAAGACTGATGGTTAACTATAAAGGTAACGTAAATTAATACAGAAAGAACTCAAGTGTTTACGAACTATGTGCTATTTGTCATTCCGGACCTCTAAACATAACAACGAATAACTTATCAAAGAGAAATTACCATTATATAGAAGAAGTTACTTTTGGTGTTTAATATGAATTATAATAATTTTACTGCGGAAGACTATAGAAAAAAAAAAACTAAACCTTCCTGACCACCTCAGATCGCGTCTCATATCAATTAGTTTTTATGCCTTTAATATAAAAATATATTAAAGTAATAAATATAAATATAATAAAATAACTGAAACTTCCAAAATCTTAGCGTAAAATTAGGTATAGTTTAATTTCAATTAATTTTTACAAATGTTTAAATGATCATTCGATAATAGTTTTATTGAATAATACTTTATTTTAAGTTTAAATATTACAGTTTTACCATAACCATAGTGAAACACAACTCGTATAACTTAGGTTAATTTTATTTATTTTGTTTCACACTTATCGAAATTGTCTTTGTATAAAAACGATCAAACTCTTAGTCTAAAAATCAAACTTGCACTAAGAAAATAGGTCCAAAAGGATGTTTAATCCTTTGAAAACAAAAATTGATTAACTTCAAAGCACTTATTTTTAAAATAAAGTCTTTGCGCCCCTATAGTGATAATGTATCAAAAACTATATTACATGACTTATTGTGTTCTGAAAACTTTTACCAAGTTTGACCACGACTTTTTACATTGTATCGAGATTCTTGTTCAAGAGTCTGCATATTAACTACCAGACGAAAGTATATTTATTCTCTTCGTATTGAGTATACAGTGTGCTCGACCAATAAAGTTCCATGAAGGCGGTTTTGTTTTTTTTGACGTCTGCGAGTAACTAGTGAAAGTAAAAGAAACCAAAACATAACGGACACGCGCTATGTGTGTGCGTATGACGGTCACATATTATAGACAACTATTTCGCAACTATTTTTTAAAGGTAGACAATTGGATATTATAAGATATTTTGCGGGCGAATTATATCAAATACATAAATCGCATGTATTTCTACACTTTAAGAGGGTTTTTTCGAACGAACAGATGTATAGACTTTAGTGATTTTGCGTGGACTAAATCCGTAAACTATGGACAATTCTTTGTATTGACATTTTATTTTAATGTTGTTAAAAGATAATATAAATTTTTTTTTATTCAGAAGAGACAACTGATTTGATTACTACTTGATATTCTAATTAGTTCTTCGACTGTATTTCTGGATAGTGAAAATGAAAACAATAGTTTTGAATTATAAACAATTAAAAACTATTGATTAAAAATATATAATTTAATTTTACTATACTACTTGTGACAACAATTAGATTATTATAAGATTAAATAAAAATTTACTAATCCATGAGAAAATCACTATTATAGTTACATAAAATTCGAAGTTTATTAAAACAAAATTTGCCGATTTATAACTATTAAAAGAAATAGAATATCGAAGAATACAATTAAATTTAAGCTTTATTTTTATAGATATATAAATTCAAGAATATTGCTGCATTTATAATAGTTACACTCAGGTAAACTCGTTCATAAAAATACACACTCCGAGCTACAACGCGGAAGTGTTTAAACATGATTAATAAACTGAATGTTAAATGTTAGAGGTGATTATTAATTTACTCGAAAATGGATTTTTTCGAGAAAGAACATGGAGTGTAGCCATTGATTAACAAAATTAACAAATATATAAATTTAGCAAGTTAATTTAGAAAGTAAGATAATTGAACTGGAGAAATTTTTGGATATAGACATTAATTGCATAACGAATGGCAAGATCAAGGATATTTTTAAAGAAGAATGGCGACAGTGGCTTGGCCTTCGCGTTTAGATACTTAAGGATAACAAGGCTAAATGCCACGTAGACGTTTGAACTAGAAAGAAAAAACAAATAACCTCGTGTAAAACACCACAACGACTTTTGTTGTTGCAAGTAGCTATGGTCGTTTTTATGGATTACTAGTTTTGTAAGACTCATCTTTTAGTATAATTCATATTATACTATACAGAATCTGTTTTTCTAGTAAAATATTGTTATTATTATTATGATTTCATCTATATAAAATAAAGCATAGGTATTATTAGAATAACCTAAAGAAATTTACTACCACTACTGAATTATACCATTAAATATTATTAAGATATTTGCATGTTATTTTAAAAATGTTCAAAATCGTTGGACCATATAAGAGTTGAATTTTACTTAAGCCCAGATTCCGGTAGTAAAATTGTAACGGTTTTGATTTCTGTTTTAACCAGGAAAATAATTAATACTATTACAACGTATATATCACTGTTAAAAACACTTGGCAAATTTAGAAGATTTATTATTGTAAAAATTATGTTTTGGCTATTATTTGGCTCGCTCATTGAATTTATGCATAAGCTGGTTGGAATAAATTACTAGATTTTTTTGTCGGTGCAAAAAATCTAGTGATTTAATTAAGATCATTTAAGCATCAATTTAAAATAAATAGTCAATAGTGTTAAAAAAGTTTTCAATTAAAAAAAGCAATCTAACTACATGTGGCCACAAAAACTAGATAAGATTTCTTGTTTATAGTAGCTGTGTAATTAAGGAGATCAATGTACATATTTTTACCTAACTACGTTGAAATTTTCTATACCTGTTAATGCTTTTTTTCAAGATCAAACATAACTGTTTTATGCATTACAGTAAACAGTTCGATTGTATTTATTCTAAAAATGTTCTAGGCAAGGGTGAAAGAATAATAACTTCATTTATTCAATAATATTTACTTCACAAAGTAGTTTTTCACAAAAATAAACAACAACTGGTGATTTATTGTTAAAATTCAAAGTCTATAACTTGCCTAGGTCCATAGTTTTGAATTATTATTAATTCCAAGAAATAATTCATCTTTAGAAGTTTGTCCAAAATTAAAATAAAGGTAATTATTAATTTTACAATTAGGAATCGAAACCGTTCGATTTGTTTGCGGTTTTGTGTCATTACTATGAAAATAATCTGTTTAGGTTTAGAAACCGTTGGGGTTTTGGGTAGTATGTTTTTTTGGTTTCATTTTCGGTTAGAAAACTCGGAAAATCGGTTATAAACGGTTTCCAGAAAACCGGTTTCTGTTTCTGTTGACAACAAATGAACGTAGTGAGTCAAATAAATTATTAGCTGTAATACGACTAATGGGGGTGGAGATATGCCAACAGGGCCGTCCCGTAGCTAGAAATATAAGCAAGTTAAAAATCTATTTTTAATGATTGAATAAATTTTTTTTTTAAATTGTGCGACCTTGTTTTTTAACAATTACTTTTTGATAGTATCCTCTTATATTATTATCGACTAAAACGATTAAATTTTACCAAATAGAGAAGTGACGGACAGGGCCATGTCTGTCGCTTCGGTGTATATATTCCACTGTAATAGACCTTTAGAAAACAAATTTTTTCATCAAGATATTTCAATCTATCCTAGCAATTAAGACAATTTTTATACGATTTTTTAAACTTTTATGTAATAAATGGTAGGAATTATAAGTAATTTGTTTTATAATAATAAAACTAATCGATTAAAATAATTTAACTACACTTTAATAATTGAGTAATTTATTTGAGTTCTATCGATCCATTATATGAATAATAAAATCATTTCTTTGATTAAAATATTCTACTCCTCACATATTCTATTTAATTTAATTGACTATTAAATTTTGAACAAAAGTATTTTAAATTTAAACGTATATTTTATTAAATAGTGTCTTGTTATGAGTAAACGAGACATATGTACACCATATTTGAAGTACCCACGTTCCGTGAAGTGGAAAGATAACTTATTATTATGCAAACCATTTTCGGTTGGTCTGTCTTTTGGAGAAAGTTGAACTGTTGTAAATTAAAATTTTCATTATTTGACGAATGAAATAATTCAAAGTGTTTAAATCTAATTAATATTGGAAAATCTTTAGATTAATTTTAAAAATTATGATAATTATTGACGTTTTTTATTAAGTAATGTGCCGATGAAACTACTTAGTAAGTGCAGAAGAAAAATCTACTTTAAGGTGAAGTAAGTAGTACCTGACAACTTGCGACTGCCCCTTTTATAGACATTGCCGAACAATTGGGTTTTCTTACCTGTAACAAAATTTATTTAAAATATCAACGCGAAAATACTCTTTTTAGAACATTTGTGTCTACTACGGCAATATTAATAATATAATAAATGTACATTTTGTCTTTGTCTCCGTTCGTTTTATCAAATGCAATTTATACCCGCGTTGTTTGTGTAGCCTATCAAATTAGAAACGAGGCGTATTAAATTGACCAACATTATTCCCTACAAAATACAAATAATATTTTGTTACATTCATTCGCCAAAGTTTTGCTATGTTTTTATTAACGTGTTATGTAATCTTTATTATATTTTTAAATAGCTCGTACTTCCTAGAAAGTATTCGCTAAGCTCTGGTTAACAACCATTATTGTAAACGTATACATTGAGGAGGTACTTCGTACGATATAAACAAAACATCCATTAACTATTTGATAGTCTTAAAATTTTCGTTAAAAATACAAAGTATAAACCGAATAATCCATTAGATTATTAAAAAACAAGCGCAAAAAAGTAAAAAATGTCTTGCTCACAGTGTTTTTAAGGATCGCCCATGTCTTAATATATACTTGCACAGGATTATGTTTTACTACATTAAACTCTTCTCCCCTAGTATATGTGTGAATATATGCAAGACACAAGGGGTAAACGACGAACGCATGTAAAATAAAATATTACGGATTTCACTTAGTTGATATAAAAACGTTGTTATTACAGCTATCAACCCCAATCATATGTATTATACTTTATAAGAGGATGTGTCACGACAGTCTCCAGAGAGGTTCGATTTTTCCATTAACTTCAATCAAGAAATTAATATTGTTGTGATATACATTATGATATAGTGTTTTATTATCCTATTTATTATTCCAAAAGGTCATTTAATAATAAAAACTACAGTTAAACAATAAAAAATCTATTGTCGTTAAAAATATTGACACGTTTATGACAGTTTTCTTTCTCAAAATGTAGTAAAATATAGTTAGATAAGTTTGTTTTAATTTTTAACAGAATAATACATTTAAAATGTATAATTTTTTTCAATTTATCATAAATTTTAAACACAACCTTTACAATAATTTAAACTGAAATTTGGGATCTAATTACAATAACAAAGCAATGATAACACTCGTTTAATATACATTAAAAAACTTTAAACTAAAATGTAATTTATAATGCTGTGTATTAATTAAAGTCGTCTGACTTACAACATACAAAATTTACACTTACTTATTTTTTGCTAATTTTATAAATTTTAAAATTTACTATAAAAGTACAGGATAAATATTTTATTATATGATGTAACATGAAACGTGAAAAGTATGTAAAATAGTATAAAACATATTGTCTAAATTTATAAATAAAACATTTTAATTTTTATTATATAATTCATACTAAACTGGTTTATTTGATTAAAACCAATAACTATGCAAAATTATTATTCAGCATAATAAATTATTAAAATTCAATTATAATAGACATTATCCCAATTACAATAAAAAATAGTTACATTATTAGAAAATGTATTAGTCAAATTATTTTATGATAGATCAATTTGCTTGTATTCACCATACATTGGCATTTCGTTTTATTATTTACTGGTTATAAAAAGATAAGAAAGGTCAGAGAGTTTGATGATATTGATCAAATACCATTCAAAATTAAAAATTAGTTAAAAGCTAAAAAATATTAAAAATATTTTATCCAAAAATCCACAAAAATTTCTAAAAAAATCTCGTATACGTATTTCGAAAACAATGTTAACATAATCAGCGTTGAGCACATACGTAGAATTACGCATACAATATTTTTTATTAATTTTTAATGGCTTTTTGAACTAAATATTATTTACATTTTTTAGTTTTAAACTAATATTTTAAATACATTTTTAATTTTAAAGAATATTGGCCACAAGTGATCAATTCTTATTATATGATTTTAATACCACTTTATTTAAATGTTTGTGTATACACCACTTATTTTACGTTATAACTAAATCATAGCTAATTTATTCTGGATACATCAAAATATTAGAAATTCTTAACAAAAAATAATTTGTATACTATTTTTTTTTTTTTTTATAAACCAAAATTGTATTATATTAACAGTTAACTTGGCATCTAATCCTAGAAAATTTGAATAACAGGTTTTAAATAACCACATTATCATAGAAAAAAATGGAAACTCCCAGGCAATAATATAATTAAAATTAAAATAAATTTTTTTTTAACCAACATTAATTTTAACTAATACTTCTATTTCAAATTAGCTTAATCATTTATTATTACATAGTTCTATATCACTTGCTACACGAAATTCGCAATTAGAATAATTTAATTGTGAGTTCATTGGTCTTTCATTTAACTATAATTAAATGAATACATTCTTAAGGTCAGCTTATAACAGAGAAATCATTAGTCAAGGGTTGAGAGTTATTAAAATGTTATACGTTAACGCTTATCTTATTGTAGTGTAACGTTATGACGAAATTAAAAGATCTGATAATTTTTAAACGTTCTATTTTTGTCTTCTGTGATCTTTCAATAATCGATGAATAAATGTTTATTCGAATTAGATATCAATAATTATTATAATACGGAAAATATAATACATAATATTATGGATATTTTAGAACAAAAAATATGTATGTCATTAATAGAAACAATACGATTTTATAATAAACACTTTTACACAGTGATTCTTTTAACACTAGTCATTCAATTTCAAATGAATTATTTTTATTTGTAAATTTCATTTTTGGCTTTTGTTAGTTATATATTTATCTTCATTTATCTATTACAATGTAATACATAATTACAAAATATTTTTATGTTCATTCCTTATATCTCATAAAGGTGTCAACTTTACTTTTTCAGATAGCAATATATATATAACTAATTAGATTATTTATTATATCATGATGTAATTAAGAAAAGGACTGCTCGATAACTTCTATTGGACCAATATTTCGGAAGTTATTAATATTTTTTATTTAGAGTGGAAAAAAAGTGTGCCTAGAAATGCGAATGATAAAAATAACCCAACCCACACCTCTCCTCCAGTCTACATTTTATGAATATGAAAATATTTATCATTATACTTTTATCGACTCTCTTTCCACCAATATATAAAAATGTTAATAATTTCTGAAATGTTGGACCAATATTTTTAATCGATAAATCATTTTTGTAAATTAATCACTTTATTTTATAAGATAGTTAAATATGTATGTAGCTATTTAAATAAAATAAGTTGATAAACTTAAAAGTCATAAAGGATGAATTGATACTAAACTTTTGATATAAAGGGTGTAGATAATGCAGCAAATAAACTAGTTGCTCATAAGCTTTTGAGTTTTTTGACTGTAAAATCGCGAATGAGAGCTAACTAAATTAATAACACTCCGTTTAATTTCCCCTGGAATATAACATTATGTTCTTTAAATTTAAATTGTTTAGTATGAATCCTACGTTCTTTTTAAAAAGAAATATTTAATTGTATAGAAATTGTATCAAATTTAAAATATGTTATCGTATTTCACTTTTCAATACCATTACTAAATTAAGTAATTTTGCAATTCAATAATACAATATTCAATTATAATGAGCGAAAAATGAGTTAGCCATATAGAGCTAAATTTTTTTTCAACAAAATTTTTTTTTTATATACAATAAAGTTCAATAGAATAATTATTTCAAATTAATTAAATAATGTATAAAACTATTTTAATTCAAAATAAGTAAAAAATACATTCGTTTAGAGCTATTTTAGACTTTTATACCAAATCAATTTTTTTCCTTTAAATTCCATGTCAAAAAAAATTGTATATGAAAATAAAACGTAATATAATTACTTAATATTAGTTAATAAAAATATTTATTATCCAACCAAAAAAAAAAAAAAGTCTAGCCATATAAAATTGTATTATTAAACTAAAATAGTATTCTTAAGTAGTAAAATAAAACAAAAAATAGTATGTTATATTTTTATAATGCATTAAATTTTAAAATGGTCCAAGTTTTGATATTCATAAAAAATTTAGTTAAAATCTATTAGATTAAATTATTTATATCAATATTGGACACTTGCCCAAGTTTATTCTAATCGTGATTAATATCAACACTCCCTCAAAAAGTATATATAACTTAAATATGTCTCAAAAAACAAAAAAAAAACCTAAATATGCAATATAAAATTACAAATTTGTCTATGTCGTAACATAAAATAAATTTATTCATAGTTGGTCTTTTTTAATGGTTACTTAAAACAAATATGCAAATGCTAGTAGTCATTTGCCCTATTCATTAAATATAAACGAATTTTATTATCCCCCATGCTATGTGTACTTTAAACCAATTACAACTATAATACACTGCCAGCAATTTTTATAACTATAAATTATAAACATTGATTGCGATTATTAGTAAAATGAGTTTACACGTGTAATAATTAAACAATGAAATAAATGAATCACATGGTATAATAATTTCATAGATATTTTCAACAGTATTGCCATATAAAATCTAATATATTAAATGTATTAAATGAAACGATTATTGTCTTAATAACTTAATTTTAATCTATATTACAATATTCAAATATGCTTAAATAACAACAGAAAAAGGCCTATGCAGTGAAAAAAATACACAAAAAATATTGTATATCTATGTAGATAACTTCGAGACTCGACAGTGTTTTTCTATCATCAAATATGAGAGGTCAAATAGAGTATAAATAGTTACAAATACACACGATAATCATTTAGGATACCAATAAATATTTTAATTATAAATAATTTTGAATATGGTCTCATACCTGATATGATACACGATTTTGACACGCAGTTTTCATAACCAGATGTGATCCACTGGTTTGAAGTCGATTGTTCTTGTTTCAGATGACGATTTTGTATCATTTCACAGAATAAAATATTACAGTGGTCGATTGAAATTACAGAAATACCGTACGTTGAATCGCATTAACACGAATTTTTTATCGATATAAAATATACATATTTAATAATTTATAAAATTCAAAATCGATATGGTCGTAAACGATCGTGACATTTGTGAAGGAATAGAATAATTTCTAAGAACTGAATATGTTAGCATAAAAAAGAATAATAACTTACTGAACAGTACAAATGACAAGGATAGAACACGGCGTGAATAATTTTTATCTACTTAAGGACAAACATCATAAGACTCAATGAGGATTTCAAATAATGATTCGATGAAAATTGGCAATCAACAAAACGTTCTAAGTAAACTAATAGTATCAAAAAAATAATAATAATAATAATAATTGTCTAAGTCTATTAATTATTGTTATAATAGTATAAAACACTTTACAAAGTTTCAATTAGATACTGATAGCGTCGACGAAATTGATGTAAAATTCTGGAGTGAAACGGAATAGTGTTGGTGATAGCAGAATTATTAAGATTACATTACTGTTGTATTTTAAAAGGAAGGTTCTATTAAATCGACTATTAAGCTTACAACAAAGTTCAACTGACAGCGACTTTATGTGTATACATTTAAAACATGTAAGTGTACGTATCGATTGATACAAGTCATGCAGATAACAACACTGTTACGTTGTACACAGATTACTCAGGTGTATAACGGATTCGGAAAACGCAAAACACATCCATCGTTTAAACATTTACTTCACAAACTATCGAGTTGATACAGAAGTTTGGCCGGTCCTTGTACAGATTTCAACGCAGGGTAAAAGAACCCACGTGTTTTGCCGTTACGTCACGTGCATGTTCAACGTGAATTTCGTACACACGTAGTGAAGGGGTGCACAACGACTCTCCCTTTGTCGAGAGCTTTTTACTTTCTTAAATACACACACAACTATAAAAATTGTACGCGCAGCTTGTAACAATCAAAGGTGCGCGCGTGGAATGGTTGGAAAACAAAACTTAAAAGTTTTGTTTTATAAGTTGTACTCGAAATACATTCAGAATATACGGAATATATGACTCTTACTAATTCTATTAATTTTCAATAGACATACAATGCCTTCCTTCGGACGGGTTTGGATTTAATTGATAATAAGACGAATCATATTGGTTAATCGAGTACTCGTTTTAAATACTTTAATTACTTGATGGCATAATTGCGTACGATTAAATAAGTTCAAAAATTTGATCGTATTGAAAAGTCGGGTAGATAATACAATAAATAGTGCAATTTTGCTTCATATTCATCTGCAGTTGACTAAAGTAATGGTCAACCAAATTTCATGACTATAATAGAAGAAATACTATATTATTTATTGCAAGAAATGTGTAACACACTGCTATATTAGCAACGTCAGTCTAAGAATTCATGGGAATGATCATAACTGTGGTGTGTCATGAACAGACAATCCAACTGCCATACTGCACTTGATAGTTTTGAAGAAGCCAGATTAATATCTTTTTATATAAAACAATAATACTAAAAGTGTATAATTTTTAATCACATAATAAAAGAAAAAACATTTTAGTTAAAAGTACATGCGCACTTTTTTATTATTTATGTTTACTTATAAATAACAAAATAATATTCTATACTTCTTTATTAATTAAATGTTTGTTTTCATTAATGTTATAAATAATGTAGTTTTTTATTAAATAATAAAAATTATTAAATTTTAACATAATAAAATATTACATAAAATTACTTCATTATTCAATTTTACTGAAAATTAAATTATTTTAATTAATTTGTAAATTCATTATTTATGTAAACAGTATACTACAATTAAGGAAAAATAAAAAACTAAATGAGTTTCTTTTGAAGTAAAAATTAAGAAGTACTAATTTTTATAATACATCCTAGTCGACTATTAATTTATACATTTTCTAAACTCATCAAGAAGTAAAAATAAATAAGTAAATAATGATAATTTTAGGTTTTTTTATTCAATTAGAAAATCAATAATTGGTGGTACATCATATAAACATAAATAAAGGCATAGGTAAGTTACCCTATGAAAATTATGAACGTGTTTTGGTTTTGAAATGAAATTATTTTGTTGCGATTTTCGTTCATTTTATATTTAATTTAAATAAATATAAAATTAATTATATAATATGTTTCTATCGAGAACATTTTTCAAAAAAGTGTTTTTAATTTTGAGACTTAAGGTATCATATATACTATTTTTACCACAGCGGTGTAACCATATTGAAGAAGTAACTTAATTTAAACGAATGTAATTTTTCCTCATAAACTCGAGCAAAAAACACAATTTATTTTTTAATTGAATCTCATAGGATTTTAGTTTTTCTGATAATTTTCTCATTGGATTCATAGAAAAATATCTAATCAACAAAGTTTTCGATATTATAAGAGATAGATACCTTATCATTAATTTTGGAAACTATCTATTAAATTTATGGGTTTATTTATTAATTAATTAATTTAATTATTTATTTTTAAATAATTTTTTTTTTAACAGAATAACTTATATTAGACTTATAATTAAAATTTAGAATTATCTAAATGAAGTACTGAATATAAACAAATTCAATCTTTGGGAATAACTTAATTGCGATTTTACTTTGGTCGATAAAATTTGCTAGTCCACAATTGATAATACAGTAACAACAAACATAATACTATGGGATAATCTGAAGTCGATCATGAACGATTTATTTAAATCAAATTATTAAAGAAAATTTTATACCTTAACACAACCTTGAACAATGATAATGTTTTTTAGCATACTTTTTTTTGTTAGATTAAATTCATTGGGGTATACTTTTGCCCTCCAGTATATTGACTATGAAATAATTACCTCCCTGCCACCGGTTGGCACTGTGTATTGTTTTATACATATCAAAATTGACTAAGAATGTTCTTTATTGTTAGTAATTGATAGACAAAATCATAAAAAAATTTTTCTGAATACAATAATAATTAGACTTTTTTGTAGAAGGATATATTTATTTTATACTTGAATTTTATTTTTAAATTGAATGGGACAAACTCAATTATAATAGGTTAGTTGAAAATAGTTGTTTAATTTCTAACAAACTTTACGTTTAACATTTTAGGGGAGTGCTCTATTTTTTTAATTAATTTGATCATTAAAATATAAAATCTAGTGTATATTTACACTAGATTTTTGCTGTCATATTTTATTATGATTGTGTTAATAGTAATTTTTTTTTAATAATAAGTAATAAATTTGAGAAATGATCTTTACAACATCTGATTAAAACAATAAATGTTAAATTGTTTTCATTAAAAATGTTCTTCTGATAAATATAAATATACTGTGAAACTAATTTACAACCGTTTCAACCAAATTATTAAATATATTTTAAAGATTTTGTCGATTTAAGTCGATCACAGTTCCATTACTTTTTTTCGGGTTTATATACCAAGGTAGAGTAATTGGTTCAATAAACAAATAATTTACATAAATAAATCACTTTTACACGACTTATGTACATCGTTAACTATTTTTACGTATAATCGATAGTATTTTAAATAATAAACGATTGAAGGGGTCAAGGAATATTTTACCAAATACTACATTTAAACGAAATTTCAAGTATAACTATATTAGCAACAAATTATTATAATTTCTAAGAATTAGACTTTCGGAAATGTAAATTACCAAAAATAAATTTTTTTTCTATTAATACTATTATAATTGGAAAACTCTTAAGCCTAACGAATTTCTTTGAATTAATAAATCAATTTAAAATTAGAACATATCTAACTTTCAATCTATTTAAACTAATAATCCATTAATGTTGTTAAAGTATAGATCTCATACTTAATTGTTTGAAAAATTAGCAAGAAAATCATTGGTGTCAATTCATTTAAAATTAATAAGACTAAATAAAATTAATTTTCTTAAGCTCTTCGATGTTATTAGTTAATAAAAAGTAACTCACCCATTTCTGTAGAATCTTCAATACGAGAAATTTTGCAGCTTGGCTCATCCATACATTTATCACTAATATTTCCTAAGATAACAAAAATTACAACTTCTTAATAAGTTTTTTAAAAGTCATTTTAGATAAATTCTTGGATATATTAAATTCATTTAAGTATTTATCACAATATTTATATTGTAATTATACGTTTTATAAAAGAAATACCAATTTATGTTTTATATTTTAATTTTTAATCTAATAGGGAATTTTCATTATGCATACATCAAATGAATAAAATTAAACCTAATTACATGAGAACTTCGAAAATTTGTAATTTTATGGGTATTATTCAGCTCACTGCAGTCCACAAAATGATATCGTGTTAAGTACACGCTATCTTCTCTCAAGGACTATTACAACGCCCATATTTACCAATATTAACGCGTTTTAAAAGCTATTTTATTTATCGAACACCTACAGTATGTTATGTGTTATGAATTTTGAACTATTTTCAATATTCCTTTACTATTATTCATGATTGAGCATATATTCCTTCTAAAACCGGTTCAAAATTTATAGTAAAAATTGAAATATTAATTTTTTTAATTGAAAGATATTCCATCGGTATTTGCCTAAAGAATACTTAGATATTCAATAATAAAAATTTAGTTAAAGTATGCTTATACAGTTAAATATGATTTTAAACATAAATGAATTCTACAACCTTGATCATTTTTGCATATTAAACACATAATTTTGGAGTCGAAATAAAATATAGCCAACAGTAAAATGTAAAATGACCGCTAAATATTAATTTCAATCATAACTCTAGAATGAATATACATTATAATATAATATTATGTATACTATGAGACATTGTATACACACACAATATTAAGGCTAAATTTAAACTAAAATTTTGTTTTTAAATTGTATGTGAAATAATTTTTATGTTAAAATTATTCAAAGGAATTTTCGAAGTGTAAAATTTTATTAAACTTAATTTTTCAGTGTCCTTTATTAAATAACTTTTTACGCAGTATTTCTTGAATAATATTTATTTTTCTCTATAAAAAAGTATAAAACCCGTTTCATCACCACATGAATCAACACCTATATAAGTTAAACACTTAACACTTGAATTCATTAGAAAATAAAATAGAAGAGTGGTATGAATAAAAAGGACGAAAAATCTTTGATTACTTATTGATAATAAGTGGTTTGAAAAAAAAAACACGCAGAAGTAATGGAATAATCCGTTTTGATCCTAAGTATATGCCGTACCGGTTACCTACTTGGAATTTACATAAACCACCAGCAATCATAGTGATGTAGTATTTCTTCATTAAACACCAATGTGTAAATATCCTTGAATTAGCTTCATTATTACAGCGTTCAGATACTATGTAATCGTATGCCATCAACAAAAATGACGGGTGTTTTAAAATAATAATGCTATTTTGCATTAAAATTAATAATATGAAATAAAAGTCCACATTAATTTTAAGGCAATTAAACATAGACAAAGTTTGGCGGTGTAACACTGATTTTATTTTTTTTAATAAATTATTTTTAATAAGATCTTATTGTATTTTTTTTTTTTAATTTGTATTGATTAAAAGTAATACTTATATGTGTAGTTTATATGTATTATGAAATATTTTTAATTATTACATGATACAACAATTCTTTACTTAGTATAATAATATAATGTTGTAATGTAAATAATGTTCATTATTTTATCCAAATTTTTTGCCTGGTTTTTAAGTCAAAGATATTAAAAAAATTGTCTCTCTATTTCTTTCTCACATTTTTCACTTATATAAATTAGTGATTTTATTGTCATTTTATTTAATAGATAATATATTCAATAATAGTGATTATTTTTAATTAATTAAATTATTGTTATTAATTGCTATTAATTGTGATTTTGAGATCAGAAAAAGTTACATGGTCAAGCGAAACGGAATCGAAATCCAGTAACTAAGTACAGAGTCAAAACCCGTGGCCTATTGAGGTATATAAGTTTTTTTGTCTGAATAATAATGTTTAAGGAATTTGACATTGTCTTAAAAATGTTCTAACTCTACTTTATAACTATATCCCCTTAGATTTAAAAAGGGTATAAATGAAAACCAAAAGTCGTATGACCGCAGTCAACTTAACCTATACATGTTAGGGTAGTATTTTAGAGTCTTTAAACCTTAAGGGAGGATTACACATAATTCTGGAATGACATATTGTATACACTTTCACTGTGCAGACGTGTTTCAGGGGCACGTCGAATGAAGCCAGACAATTGCTCGCATTTGACTTAGGGTCACTGAACAATTTGTCAACTACTGAGAAAAGCGATATTCTACCGGGTGTGCCATATTACATTATTATATCTCAATACAGTTATACAAATATCCCATTGAGAAGCCTAACGCACTTGTATTGCGGTTGCTGTATCATATATCATGCTTCATATTAGAATTTATATTCTTTCTTCTTAGGTTTAAAAAATTACTATTTTCTATTATATCTAAAATGAAACATTTATTTCAATATCGGCTGTCTGTACAGTCTCATTATAAATAATCTTATTTAGTTAATACGTGTATAATTTTATTGGATTTTAAAATAATGTTTATTCATTGAATAATTATATTATGATAGACAAATATTTAAAATTCAGACATAGATACGAAAGTACTTAAGTTGAAGTATAAGTTGAAATATTTTTTGATAAAAGGTTATATATTTATATACTTGACATGACAAAAAGTGTGTTATAATCAATACATAAGTGTGTGACTCTAGCACAAGGCATATTTTAAGGGATTTCGACTGTGAAGCACTAATAGAAGTTTATTTAAAATATGAGCTCGCATTAACTCTCTTAGAAACAAGCTAATACCAAGATTATAACTGGGGTATGGTGGTATAAAATAAAAATAGAATTTCTTTCCACGCAAATTCATCAAGATAGCTTTATAAAAATAATGTTATTTTGAAAATTATCGGAAGAGGTGATTCTGGACCCAGTGAATACCTTTGAATATATGTCTACCTATAAACTAATGAAATTTCATGGCTTTAAACTGTGTAAAGAGGCTAATAAAAGTTTTTTTTGTGAAATTCTCTTTCCCAAGAAAAATCCTTAATTCTTCACTGTGCACTATTGGTGAGAATTTAATTTAATCAGTATTGAAATCGGCAGAATAATAGGTAAATTGTTATTTGTGACCTATATCCTAAGTGTTTTATAATTTTTTTACTCAAAATTTCATTATATTGAAATGAATGTCAAAAAAACATTGATGAAAAACTATTTTACAAAACATAAATCTGAAAAATATCTTTCTTATGATACTTATGTTCAAATAAGTAACACAAGAGGACTTCTCAGAGGCTTAAGTCAGTTTTATTTTACCAGTAAACGAGTCACGACTATTAATTATAGAGGACAGTGATTTTTTACTGAGTGTCATTTATGGCACCTATTTTATACATTAAAATAAGCTATGTTCTAGCGTGTAGTGATATACATGTACACACGATTTTTATTTAAAAGAAGTGAATTTAGATTTTTCTAACATTTTCTTTTAAAGAAATAAAATTATAAGTTTATTAATCAACTCTATTATTTCTAATTTATTAATTTTTTTTTTTGATTGATTAATACTTTACGATTAAGAAAGTAATATATATGCACTGGCATAATTACTGAGGTGGTGGGTGATACCTACATATTATCATATCTGATAATACAAAAAAAATTTGTTTAATAAATATCATAAGATATATTAACATATTCATAATTTGATAAGCTGATAACCTTAAAACAATCTGCGCATATGTTAGTATAATCAACCTCAATAATGAAAAGCAACACTTAATACCGTAAAAATTTCTATCTTTGTTTTAATCTTTTTGAATACTAACAAAACAAATGTTGATGGAACTGGTGTAAAATATTCCATCGTTGATTCATTTTCAAATTTAAATTACATTAAATTTATCCTGAATAGAAATACAATTATGTGAAATTATATAATTAAAAGTATCTTGTATTTAATTCAAACTCTAAAACAGAAAATTGTAATAATTGATAGACTAAGTAAATAAGGATGAGGTTTCTTTCCTACGATTTTTATATAAAATTTAAATAAAAAATCTTTCAACATAGATCTATTTTTTTAAAAAGAATTATTTCTTCAAGACTTTAATATTTATTATCATTAAAATTATAATATTTTTACAACACCACAAGAATAAATGTTAAATATTGAACAAAAATTCTCAATTTTGCAAAAAGATAAATATTTTTTAAAAAGTTTAATAACAAAAAATCTAAACAAATTTTTACATACTTCTTTATATAATTTAGATCTAACTGTTACATTTGAGTCGTTTTATTGTATAAGAATGTACATCCATAATATTTAACAATTGAAATAGAATTTTTTGAAACTGGAAGATTTAATTGTACGATGAAAAATAAATTGGAAAAATCTAATTTTTACGAACGATTTGTTTTGTGACTTAAGATTTAATTAACTAAATAATCATTGACTTATTTTAATTAGACAACAACAAAATTAAAAAGAAGAATTTATTCTACAAATATTCAAGAAAATCTATTAAATTTTTAATTATTAAGGGAAATATAAAATTCTATTATTGATCAACAATGCCATTAAAAAAAATGTCATCATTAATGCGTTATTTTTCATAAGAAAACTTTAGACCATCATCGTTATTCGTAAATTACTGATAAAATATGTATATCATCTACTAGGTTAATATAATTAAATTTTACCTTAGGTTAATTTTAAGATATAAATGCTATTTCTAACCTCTGGTAACAATGCAACAGATATGTTTATTGTACCAAACGTAATAATGTGAGCATACTTTAAACATTGTCATTTTTTGATAAAATTAATTTTACGTGACGATATAATTCTTAAATTTCCATTGTCGTCATTAATCATATAAAAGTTTTGTAACATCAATAATTTTGAAAGAATTCAATATAAAATACTGAGTGTTCTCAATAGTGAAACGTTAAGAATTAATTGAGGTGTTGATCGCCACAGTGGTCTATTTAGGTGTCTCAGCCTATTATGGGAAATTTCCATACCTATAACCATTATTTAGTGTATAAAGATTTATCAAATTATTTTTTATAATCTACTCTATAAAATGGCCATCTTATTTATTGAACATTTTTGTTATTTATTTATATAAAAATAAGAACTATGTATATTTTATGATATTATTATAGTCCTATACTCAAACTAGTTTTTAAAAAATAAATTAATAAAATATATTCAGGGAATAGCTATAGGATTTGTCAGAGCAGGCTGTCATCCTGAATATAAAAAAAAATAATAAATACTAGCTAAAGTGTACTGAATATTATCGATCCCTGATTAATCAGATTAAAAATATCACCACTCTTCTCACCAATAAGTATAACATAACAAACATTAATATAAGAGAGATAGGAATATTAAAGAGAGATAAAGAATAGTAAAACAGTCAGACTGTACTAAAAAAGAAAATATTAAACTGCTTAATTGTTTTAATAACATGGAAGACTAAAGTATTATGTGAGAAAAAAAGGGCGACGTAAAGCAAAGATTAAAATTTTACTGATAAAACCATAATAGGCATCTGTTTGCCTTTGACCCGGTTAAACGGAAATGGTTGGGCTATCGGTAAGCTAAGACGGTATCAATGGTAACCTTATATCAGTATGAACATACATCAACGGAGTCCGCTGGTCTATTTGTCGGTAAAATGTATTAACAACATAACACGTATAATCGAACGAAGTAGACAATTATTTATAATTAGTGTATATATGAGTTCCGACCAGTGACTATTATCACCAATATTAGTTTATAATTACTCTGTGTTCGTTGTTTCTTCGATGCAACATTGTGCAACTCTAAAAATTCCTTTGGATGTACATAAAATTGAGAATTAGGGAGTTCACTATTTTTTATAATATAAAAAATCCTTACTTTTTTGTCGTCATTAATTTAAGATAGTTTTATAAAAATTTTAGACTGTATAAATTAAACTCACTCCTACCTTCCATCCATCCTTCTCTAAAAAAATATCTCAATCCTAGAAAACCAAATGTTCCTGAGGGAGGCTATAATAGAGGTAAAAATAGTTAAACATTCCTTGAACATTAAAAAGGTTTTATATGGAGTTAAAAACTCCATATCTTACAACATGACAAAAATTATAACTTAAAAAAACAATTTTTATATAATGATATATTATTTTGTATGCAATTTGAATGAAAGAAGTAGATATATAGATAATAAATTATGAATTAGTAATATAACTTCAGAAGTATTTAAAAGAATAAAAAAATATACATAATTATAAGACAATTTAACTAGTAAAAACAAGTTACGTTTTACTTTTTTGTAAGCCAGCAAAGAAAATGAGCTCGTTGGTCTATAGATTTCGACATAAATTACCCTATTAATACACTATGCATTTTCAAATAGTATTGGTAATATACGGTTATTTAATGTAATTAGTATTGACAGCAATTTCCAAAACGTAAAATAATTAAACGACTTTTAATGTGTTTTTAAAGGAAATTTTACTATCAAATTCAAGGGCAACGTCGGGGATATAATTCCTTTAAAGACAAACTCATTAACATAAATTCTATAACTAAATATAAAACTAAAGGTACAAATGTGACATCATATTGAATCGACACCACATACGTGCTGTCCATCCAAATTTATTTTTTAAGGGTAGTAAAGAAAATTATTTTTATATAATATTCACCATCACCAATCATTATTTTCAAGGCGATACTGTTATTTTACGTGCTATAAATATTTTTGACACTTATTTTTAATTAGATATCATTATCTAAGATATACTATATTAAATATATTTCATATTTTGTTTTAATATTTAAACTATTTGACAGAAAACCAGTCAAAAATACAATTAATGATAAAATTATAACAAATTTTGTAATTCTTTGATTACAAAAAAATTTTGATAAAATAAATTATATTTAAACCAACCCAATTTCTATTGATCTAACTTATTTTTAGTTGAAAACCCTGTTCAAAATAACTTACAATGTAAATAAGTTTTTGCTTGTAAAAAAATAAAATAATTGGGCTCAAAATTCTTTTGATTCTCAAATATAGTCTAATAATGCTCTCGTATTATAATATGTATAATTATAAAATGTAAAATACATCTACTATTCTTAATTTTAAAACTGGTTTTATACACAATTTAACGTAGCCATTAAAATGTAATCATAAATAACAACATGACAAACGAATAAATTATTACACAATGATAGATCACACTTAATATTAAAAAAAAAATCTTATTAGAAAAACAAACAATAATGATTCTTTTCAATTCACGTAAAAAAATAATTTTACAAGAAATTGTATCTTGAAATTATAAAATAAATAATGATAATAAAAATTCTTGTAAACAAACAACAACATTCTTAAATATTTTACTATATATTGAAAAAATTAGCAATTGTAGTCTTTGAAAAAAGTCATTTTTGTTATTTAACATATTAATCCTGTTAAGAGATAAATCTATATTTAGACAAGATTTTTACTAGTTAAGAATTATTAGATATTGAAACAAACGATTGATGTTCGTAAGTCTTTACTGTCCATTAATTAACAATATTTAGATTATAGATCAATAAACAAGTAGCAATTAATAGTTACAAGTTCAAAAATATATATTTAAGTAACAAACATTTTCAATCAATATCGAAACATGTCGGCATATTTCTTTTCAAGATCGACTAGCTTTATTGCAGATTTGATAATATTAATTAGTAGATAACTTGATAAAAATATAATGAAACGTAAAAAACAACGGTTTATTACATAATTGTATATTAGATCTATGTAATTATCCCTTAAATTTGTTTTATATATTATATAAAACAATTTTTTTATTATATTTTCTGAACTAAATTTAATATGACCTAAGGTAGCCAAGCAAATTTGCAAGGTATCCATATCCATTAATGACACATACTATGCAATTTAAAAAATTTGAAAACCAATGCTATTAATTGTTTTTTTAGTAAAATATTTAGTACATAAGAAGATCATTTAAAGATAAGCAGTAAATTGCACATAAAAAAAAATATATATATATACGTCAATATTATCGATATATTAAAAACATAATTTAATCATTTTTTTGATTATCATTCTAAAAATATTAGGACAAAATTTTTTTCATAAATTATTAAATATACTAATATTTTTACATTTTCTTTTATACACAAAAGTGTAAAATTTATCATTTTAATAGATGTATAATATCCAGTATTCTGTGGTATAACTCTATTGATTATGAGTGTACTGATATTAGATGGTCCCTTCTAAATTATTTATTTAAAATTTTTTTGATTCTTAACAATTTTTTAATATACTTTTAGTAATATACTTAACGTAATATAATGCTTAATTACATGTTTTGTTACTTTTAAAAAAGAAACAAACATAATATTTATTAAACAAGTAAAATTTATTGTTTTATGAAAATAGTAGAGACATGACTAAAATCAATTTTGACACTGGGTAAATAAATCTTAAAAGCCTTAGGTAATTTGTTAAGTTGTAACCCTTTCATCTATTCAGATAAAGCATTTTTTTATATTTATTATATTATAATACATTACAATTTTTTTATTCGAATAAACTACTTAACTATAAAAAAAAATTAAATTGTAAGCTTTATAAATTTAAAATTACATTAAAAATATTAATTTGAAACTAAAAAAATATTTAACTAAAAAGCCACACAAATTGCAGATATTATTTCGGTTACAATGTTTCCCTGAGCAATGCTAAACCCATGTTAAGGTTTTATTTATACAACTATAAAATACTAACCATATCACAATAGTTGAAATATTATAGATGTTTATTGTTATTTAGAATAAAATACAACTAATATTCCTGTATAAAGTAATAATATCAAAAACAATTAATCGGCAACTATTTATAGCTAAAAATTTTAGCTATTCGATTTTAGCCTAAAATCGAAATTTATTAATAAAAAAAATACTGTAGCATAAATCTAAGTGAAAGAATAGAAATTAATTATAATTAGTATAGAATTTCGGAATTAATTTAGTAATTGTCAAAAATTTATTTATGATTTAGAAAATATATTAGTACGTATTTTGAAAATAAAGTGTTAAAATTAATATCTACAAATCTCAAGATATTATATTAAGTTAGTACACAAAATAAAATTTCCAATTAAGTTTGCCAAATGAATAATAAATGTATAGTCATAAATTATTTTTTAACGAGGAGTACTTAAATTTAAAGTAAAATCGGTATAATTCTAGAGAATTTTAGTAAGATGACTAAATGACAGTAATACTTTATTTAATCATTCAAAATTGATAATTACTTTTGTAAGTAAATGTTAAGAATATACTGTGTTTTGTAACTATTACTCACCAAAAAATGGATGAAATGGTTCATCTAGAATAGACTTTAATCCCATATCAATTTCGTCGAAAATCAACTCTCCATGATTAGTCTGTAACTCGCACATGCTATTAAATGTTAACACTATTCCACAGTAAGATACGCGAAAAAATTGTTCAAATAACAAGTTTTGTAACGGCTGCACTCATATAATTCGTCATTCAACAATTAAAATTAAAATTAAACGACTGTGTTATTGATAAAAAAACACAATACAATTAAAATATTTCAATTTAACTGTTTTAACAAAATATTTTTATGATTAAATTAAAAATTTTTTTTTCTTAAATAGTTATAATAATAGATCTTGTTAGAAGTTAGATTGAGAAGTATTAGAAAAGTTTTATTAAGAAAAAAATAACGTATTTTACAGAAAAATTTGTCAACACTACACCATTTAAATATGCGCACACAGACATTTACAAAACGCACGGCACGTGTTGACAAACAACTGACCGGCTTACGATGGAGTGTAGAACCAAACCGGCACGAACGCCTCTCTGCAGAAGTCTAAACTAAATTAGTGACGTCACATTAGAAATATTATAATTAAACCGGTTTGCTTTGAAGTTTAGGTAAATACTATTTACAATCGAACATTGTTATTAATTTTTTTAATCATTAAAAATTGTTTTCCTTAAAGAGGTTATCTCTTAATGATCGACCTAATAGATTATTGCCAAATTTTTAAGAAAAACTTGATAATTTTACAATATTTTTTAAGAAAGATTAATATGAATTTAGATTCTTAAAAATTTTGAGAGGGGTTATGTGCAATGCATAATTTTCAGATCTTCGTATTTATAAGTTTTATTATAAAAGTTTCAATACATACCACTTGTTTATGTTAAATTATTAAGTCATAATGAAGTAACAATTAATTCCACAAAAGTAATATATTTAACTGTCAAACAAACCCCTAGAAATATCTAAAGTTTTTTTATGTTTTAATTCTATGGTAAGATAAAAGATTCCTATCTTACTTTAAAACCACTCAGTTACGTTCACTTGTGGCACGTGGTATAGCAATAAGTTCATATGGAAACTGGCAACATTGTATTAATAAGTTTGTATAAATAATATAGGAAACGTTTTTATCGCTTATCGATGCCACGTTGCCAGTTTACATAATACTTATCTTTTATATGAATTTTTTTCTCTTACGAACTAATTCGATTGTCTACAGTACTCATTGTTTTAAATATCTGTCCATTGAGAAGAAAATTATCAATGAATTTGTCACAGTTTTGAAAATATTTATGTGTTGAAAACTGTTTGAATTTGTCACTCAAATAAACTAAAATGAATGCTATTAATAGACTTTTCAGGCTGTCTTGTTTTTCCATTTGTTATTTATCACCCATTAGCGTTTTAAATAAATTGAATTTATCAAATGTACACTGTTCATTATGTCAGTTTAGTCAATTTTTGGTACATATTCAAGCACTACTTTTACAACATTATTGTTGTTTTTTCTTATGTTCTATTTTTAGCAGAAGTCGTTGTTATGTTTGTAAATAGTTTTAAATGTTCATATAAGTTTTATTTGAGACTGAATATATTTTGTAATTTACATCAATTAACTTGTAGTAGAAAAGCAATCTACATAAGACAACTAATCCTCGTAAAAAAAATCAACAAACATGATAATTCACAGTCGAACAATTTTAACATTATTATTATCTTTTAATTTCAATAATACATTTAAATTTAATAAATAGTTGGTATGCAATAATATAATGATTTTAATTATTATTATAAATAATTTTCTGCTATCTCTAATCAAATTGATCAATTTTCTATTATTTAATTAACTTTTTTGTTTATAAATTGAGGATATAAAATTCAATTTGGTTTAATAACATTTATCAACTCGTTTATTTTCTAAAACTAATTCAGGATAATTTTTTTTATTATTTCATGACCAATTACAATATTTAAAAAAATGTGTTTAATAATTAAAATCATCTGAATTTTTTATTATCATTTTGTTGAACTAAAAAAATAATTATGAAGTATTTTTTGTTTTAAAAAAAAAATTATGGGTAAAAAATTTGACTTATGATTTCGGGACTCAATTTTTGACTATTAACCGACCTATTCATAATTTTTTTAACGTAGAAATTACCCCACCCCTAAAATTAGTGTTAATTACATATAAATATGCCAAATTTCGCGTCATTCAAATTATTAATCAAGTTAATAAAAATAAAATAACATTTTTGTTCTGGTCATTATTTTAATACATTAAAATATATAATATCAGCTATATTACTATGTTCAAACTACATGAAACATATTAATAATATTTAGGTTAAGAATAAATAGAATCCATATGCCCTAAAAACATCAAAAAGTAAAAATACGCCAAACAAAAATATTGAATCAAAAACCGTAACAAAAAAATAGTATAATATTTATCTAAGCTTTTATTTAAAACTTAATTTTTATTGACATTTACATTACTATTAATATACTTCTTATTTTAGCTTTTTTACGCGAAAGGTAAAGGGTTCATCACAGATATAATGGGGAGATATCCGATTGAATGGGAAGTGTGTCTTACGCCAACTGGTTATACACAGTAGACAAAATATCAAATGATATTCATTAGGTCAATTTGTATCATTTTTTAAGAATATATCACAAATGTTAAATTGATTCATTGAAAGTGATATAATTTATCATTGTTTCAAGAAACGACTTCATGGTTAAGTTAACATCAATTCACTAGTCCTGTTTGGTTAAAATGGCGTCATTTCACATTTTTAAGGGTGGAGGCCACGACGTATTTAATAAATTTGAACAAAGAATATACTGAAAAATGTAGTCAATATTTTTCGAAAATAATTATTATGACTCAAAAAATATATCTTAAACTCATTAAAGTATAACCTAATTTTTTACTAAAATATCAAGTCTAGCAATAACTTCTCAATTGACGCTCTCGAGTTTGGCAATCTAATAACTATAGTGTACAAAAAACATTAATTTTCATGAATTAAATCTTCATCTACTCCGAATGGTTGCATAATGCAACCATCTAATGCACCTTGTATTATAATGCTATGATTAGTATAGTTGTCCAACAAAATATGGCATAATTCCATACTATGTTTAATATTTTAAATAAAGTATCTCTTTAAACTGACTAAGTATTTATTACAAATACGTATTCTACTCCTCTCTAATGAAGTATGGTTTCTTTAAATTCTTGTGTAAAAAAATATTCTATCTATTGTCCACGGCTCACTTTTCACAAAAATATAAGAAGTTTAAAGAGTTCTAATGAGTCATAAAATAAATATTTTTCTTCTATCTCAAACAGTTACGTTTATCTTTAATCTGTAAACAATTTATTCGAACATCTTTTTAACCATGTAATATTTATATTCAATGATAAAAAATAATTATTATAAATGAGATAACCATAATTTTCATTATCTATATGATAAGTTTATATGTTAGTTGTATAATTTGTAGCTAATCAATGATCATGCATGCTTCAAAATTAAACACAATTAAAAATAATACAAAGAAAAAAAGAGAGTTAACATAAAAAGTATTTAATTTTTAAATTATTATCATGTTTACAGGGGGTATTCAAAGTTCATTCATCTTTAAACCATGTTAGCGTTTTCTAAATTGTAACATGTTTTCATAATTCTTGTCTAATTTTTATTGACATTTCATTTTGATATTTCAAGATTATTGATGTAATTGTTCATTATTATTTGTTTTTTTTTTAATGTATTCAATTATTCAATTACCCTTATTTTAGATTGCAATTTTGATTTTTTATTATATAAAAATTCATAACCTAATACTAAAATTCCAAGAGTAAGATTTTGTTCCAAATAATCTCGAATAATAATGCTTAAGTTCTCAATATCTACGAAAATATTAATAGTTAATGTATTTAATTATTTACTTTTTAAATAATTTCTACATTTTTCTTGGCTGAAAGTGTCATGTAATCATAAAAATATTTGTATTAACGACTTTTTCCACTCTTACTTTCCTATTCGTGGAAGGTATCATAATACACTTGTAATATTATATTTAATAATACCAATGAATAGTGTAAATTGAACACAATTAAGGGCTACTGGGAACGCATATTATCGGGAAATACCACTGTATACCCGTATTTCTGACACAAATCAGTCAACAATTCTTTATTTAATTTACACTAATGGTTGACAAGTCCTAGTTAATAAATTATACTCATTCTTTTGCTATTAAATAGTATAAATCACTGAATTACTGACGACCATTACTCATATAGTTTCTATAAGTTAAGATAAACAATACTAGTGTGTTGAATTTCAAACAATTTTATTTAGCTTAACAAATTTGTTTGTAGGATCAAAAAAATAAATCATTGCTCATCATACAAATAATACGTTGTGAAAGTTTTAACAAAAATTGTTTAGTCTTTATTAATTTATAATTTAAATTGAAAGCCAGCATGGAAAATTAATTTATACATAGATCTTTCCGTGGAGTCATAAGCTCTAACATCTCCACTTCATTAATGCTCTTCTTTAGTTATCCTTACATTAAAGTCTATAACTTCGTTAAACCTGTTTTAATGATATTATTTTTACAAATTCTTTAATCATTTTCATTAATTGATTTATAAGGTACTTGGACTGTTTTTTAAATAAGTAGTATAATAAAACTTCAATTATGCTATCATTAAAGATTAAAACCAGTTAATGTTTATTTTAGTTATTTATATTATATAGCTTGTGTTGATTTTCCTTGTTGTAATATAAATACTACAACTGTATTAATAGTTGTAGTCGAAAGAAAAAATAATGTATATTGTTGAACAACTAACTAAAAATTATTCACTTAAAAAAAACGTGAGGTTTTAAACATGATGTCAAATTCTGCGTGGATCACTTCGAATTGAAGTTTAGTTCATTTCAATATTGTATAACTTGTTTTAACTTCATATAGAATCTTGACCTATCTCGAGTATTCTACCGTCTAGACACTTAAAACTTGTTTCATGTGTTACGATTAGTTCACCAAATACAATAATTGATAAAACAAATACAATATTAGCGCATGGAAAGTAGTGACTATGGCCCCGGGACAGCGTTTGCAAATCGATTTTTTCTCGTGTGCAATACTTTTGGATAGTGCGTCACACCACATTTTCATAAACTTTTGCGTAATAACATTCAGCAAAACTATATTTTTATAGAGACCTGTGTTTAAAATAACTGTCAAAACCGATAGAATATTAATCAAATTGGATGAATGATTCTGATTTAATAAATTTTTACACGGAGGCGAATTAAAATGAAATTCGTTGTTAATACAATTTCTGTATGTTTATAACGTTGATCGAACCAATAGAAATTCAGTGTGCAATACTTAGTAAGTCAATTTATTTTTCATTAGTATTATTTACAATTAAAAATTAAAATATTCATGATTATAAAGTTAATGCGTTATTGGTAGGAAACATACATTATATAAAAATACGATTTTGTGTTAATCTAAACGTCTTTTAAAATTATAAAGAGTTATGTAATTACGTTAAATATAAAGATTCTTGAATTAATTTTTGCTTGTTCAAATCATAAAATTATTTAAATATATCGTTTTTATCTATTTGCTCCATAAACGTCTGACTTAAATTATAATTTTACTACTATATAAGTACTCAGTAGATTGTAATAATATATACCTGCATTCATAAAAAATAAAAATCTAAAATTTTTTCTTTCTGATAAGAAATTTTATATTAAAATTATTTTTAGAGTATTTTTATTATTTTAAATTAAAATATTTATTGTTAAATGTCTTGAAGCTAGTCTACCAATTAAAAAAAATATTTTCTTCATAATTATACTACAACTTATTATATTTATATGAAATTTAGAGTAATACATAGATTCATTAAATAAACCGATAATGTATTTCATATTTACATTTTAACTGTGCTAATTTGACTTAACTCTACTAATAAGAATATATAGAACATATGTTAGATTTTTCTAATAACTAAAATAATTTAATGGTATTAATTGGGATTCTCTAAATTATACATTTTATTGTTAATTGAAACTTCCTATTAAGTAAACTTTAGTTAAAATTTATTGAAAAATTGTCGTAATTATTTTCTCAAAATCATTTTTCCTTTTAAATGTTGGACTTGACACTATTCAATTATAATCAGTAATGGTCAGGTCAAAGCTAAAATTATTAAAAAAAATGTTTGTACTCTTTCCGTAACACTCAATTTTGTCAACATTTATTATAAGTATGTACTGTACCAGGGGAATATTTTTTGATTTGGAGGATCTCCTCTTCACAACCATAACTTAATTCCTAACTAATTTACATTTTTTAGTGTTAAAAAAACAAACACGAATATCTAATCATTTTTTATGTTCTTGGGATGACTAAAACAAAATTTATAAATGATTTCTCGATACCGGATAACGACATTCAAAATGTACAGACATTTTTAAGTTTGAAAAGTTATCGTGTTGAACATATTAAACATTTTTTTAAAAACTGAAAAATAAGATATAAATAATAAAACATATTTTTTTTTTTACAGAATATTATAATTTATCATAATGCCTGGTTCAAGACACAAGATTTTAAGTCATGTGTTCAGTGGATTTTCCGAAAAGATGTCTCGAACAAAAGTATTAGATATTGGAGCTCAAGCTGCTGAGACGCCATTGAAACGATGCTTGACAACATTTGACATCACATTGCTAGGTATTTAGGAATCCAAATTGAAAATAATTTTTAGTACATATAAATATCCTGTGTCAGCGTTACAATTTGTGAGATCCAAACACAATCAAACAATATTTCATGATTTGAATAACCTTTCTTGTGTTTTTTTTATTATTATTTTTTGCACAAAGGTCCACGTGCGTACGGGTTCTGCACGCTGGTATTGGTAACATATTGTATATATTATTGTAATCATTTGATGAAATAAATATAAGTCCGTTTTAACTAACATAATATGTTAATTAAAACCGACTTAAGTAAAATATGTTAAAATAGTATTATTTTCATATTTTTAATAAGTAAATAGATTATTTAATTATACTTTTCTCATATAAATTTTACTGATTACCCAGGTATTGGACATATGGTTGGTGCTGGAATTTATGTGCTCATTGGAACGGTAGCAAAGGAAATGGCAGGACCAGCCATTATGTTTTCATTTATGCTTGCTGGAGCAGCGTCTATGTTAGCTGCTTTGTGCTATGCAGAGTTTGGTACTCGTATACCTAAGGCTGGTTCAGCATATGTTTATACTTATGTAAGTGTTGGAGAATTTTGGGCATTTGTCATTGGATGGAACATAGTACTCGAACACATGATAGGTAAAGATTTTATTTTTATGACAGCGGAAATATTTTATTTACATATATTTAGTAGAAACCTTATAAGGTTTTAATTTTATCGAGCCTTACAAAGAATATTAATTGAACCTAAATTATCCTTTGTAATGATACTTAATGGTTTAGTATTTAAAATTAAAAATATATTTTACATTTTTAATAATATTAGCCACAAATTCTAATTATATTATGACTTAATAGTTTCAATTAAAATAATTTATAAGTAATATATAACAACTAATTTAATACAAGGTATCGATTTTGTATCTTAAAACGCAAAAAGTGATGACTTATATTTGTAAGATTTTTGGATTTCATATCACTCGAGATGTGTGAACGTTATACTTTTCAAATTTTATTCTGTTATTGATATGTGTAAGCTATACCAAATAATCAATTTAAAAAGATAGCAATTTTTAATTATTTAACAGTAAAGTTACGTTTTTATAGATAACAGATATTGTACACTTAGTACAGAAATATTAGAAAGAGATTCAAAATATCTTTATCTCATATCCTAAGCTATGGTTTATAAAACTTTGAGATATATTAATTATTTCTAAATTACATATGTGTTATAGATTTGTTAGATAGTGTAAACTTAAGTTATAAATATTAATTAATTTAATTTAAAACAACACTATTTGTAACATCAATTATTAAATTTAAAAAGTTAAAAAAAAAATTTTTCCGGTACCGGGAATCGAACCCGAGCCTCCTGGGTGAAAGCCAGGTATCCTAGCCACTAGACCATACCGGACTCATGTATGTTAGTTGAATTAGTACTTTATTTAAGATTTGTATAAAATAATTTATTTATCATGAACTACTTGAATAATCAAAAATAAAAATAATTTTGAGTATATTTTTTAGTTACATTATTTTCTGAATTTATCAATTGTAAAACATTTTTTATATTCATCCCTTATATCTTATAAAGGCGCAATCTTTATTTTTCATGTGGCAACACGCATAATTAAACAGATTATTTAATAGAAAATGTTTTGTTTAAGAAAATGAAAAGGGTGGGTCGCGGTGTTGGTTTTTTTGTCACTAGAAAATGGATTTTTTCTAGATGGCTGAAACATTTCATAGCTAGGTAACTGAGTAATTTTATGATATATTTTATTATAAATTTAATAAATTAGTATAAATTATTAGTTCATGGAAGATGAACCGCCTTGTTCTAAATATATCAAAAAGATCATTTAATAATTAAATGTCCGTTTTAATAGGTTTTTTGAATAATTAATACTTAAACAATGAATTACGAATCATCATGCGAAAAATCAAATACTTAGGAGGCACTTTATCGGCAATCCAACGTTAGCCACTTAGCTAAGATTATTTTCATAAATATTCATTACGTTATTGTAGGCACGAAAGAAATTCTATGAAAAATATTTTTTTTCAAGGTTGGGGTAACCTGCAATTTACGCCAATCATATAATTATCCATATATCTTCTACAAGTAATTACTTAACACACTAAAAAAAAATTAATTGATCTTAAGGCATACATTCCACTTATTACCCCTCCTATAATAACACCCATGAGTTTTATTAGTACATTTAAAACATTTAAATTAAACTTTATTTTTTTATTTTTATAGATCTATATATACTTTCATCTTCTACATAAAGTGCTTTACAGAATACTTTAAATTAATAATTTATTGTACTTAAAATAAAGTATCAAAATAATTCGAACTAAACCCAAAATTGACAAATTCAAAAAAAATAGTCGTATGATAAAAATTAGTGTGATAAGTTATTGTTATCTTATTTCAAAATATTTTTATAATAATAGTTATAAAAATTGAGCCAACAATAATCATATGTTTGGAGTATATCATAGAAATTTATGTATTTAATATTATACTTATATTAATATTTTTATAAGTAATCAGTTAAACTTGTTAACATTTACAGGTCTTTGATTTAATTGTTAACTTTTGTGTTTTTACACAGGAGCTGCTTCGGTGGCACGTGCTTGGAGTGGATTTTTCGATTCAATGTTCGACAACGTCATTAGAAATACAACTGTATCAATGTTGGGAGAATTGCACGAAACGCATTTGGGAAAATATCCGGACGTTTTTGCGTTTTTCATATGTCTACTTCATGCTTGTATATTGGGTAAACATTTAAATATTATTAAAAAATATGCAATTGATTTGAATGATTTTAAAATAACAGATATTAATTATTTTTAGGCGTTGGTGTTAAAACGTCTTCATACATGAACAGTTTCCTAACTTTAGTAAATTTAGGAGTGATGGTTGTTATAGTGGTGGCTGGATACTATTACGGTAGCAATGAAAACTGGTTTGGTCCGCGTGGTTTTATGCCTCGAGGTACCACAGGGATAATAGCTGGTGCCGCCACGTGTTTTTATGCATATGTTGGATTCGACAGCATCGCTACTTCTGGTGAAGAAGCCAAAGACCCTGGTTACTCCATTCCGGTTGCTATTATCATAGCTATGAGTGTCGTTTGTACCGGTAACTTTTCATTTAAAAAACATTTAATATGTAATTTAAGTCTTTCGAATGATTCAATAATTTGATTTATTCAAATTATTTAATTAATAATTCATAATTATTCTTATCTTATGAATCAATAATTCAATAATCATAGGTTATGTTTTGGTGAGTGGTGCGCTGACGTTTTTAGTTCCTTTCGCGGACATAATACCGGATGCTGCTTTTCCAGCAGCTTTTGAAAGAGTTAATTTACACTGGATTAAATATTTGGTATCAATTGGTGCTCTTTGTGGTATGACTACTACATTGTTTGGATCTCTTTATTCGCTGCCGAGATGTATTTATGCGATGGCTGATGACGGATTGATTTTCAAATTTATGGCTAAAGTCAACAAGAAAACTCAGGTAAGTATTTATGATATAAAAATATTTATGATATGATATAAAAATAAAGCCTTTATTTTTTAAGTCAATAATTGATACTTTGTTTGCGTAGGTTCCTATAATTAACTTAGCTATATCCGCTCTCTTGTGTGCTCTTATCGCATTATTTTTTGACTTGGAAAAGTTGGTTGAATTCATGTCTATTGGAACTTTGCTTGCATACACTATTGTTAGTGCGTCAGTTGTTATACTTCGGTACCGCCCTACTAATCGAGGACTGATGCGTGATTCTAGCAGTCTTTTGGAATTACCAACATCACAAGCGGATGTGAGAATGTTTTTTACTACTCGTACTATTATGTTGTAGTTTAATCTAATAATATTAACAATAATTATTTCAGTCTTTTGAAATGGATATGGGTGGAAGACTGAAACCATCGTACAAACGTTTAGAACCAATTCTCAATCATTTTAAACCCGGTACTATTGTTTCTTTATGTACTGCTTGGTTTACACTCTCAACAGTTGTACTATGTGTGTATGTCCAACACTGGCTTGATTTGCAATACATAAATTGGGTAGATATCTCTGTACTAATCGTTATTGGTGTCAATTTGCTAACTTGTGAGTATCAACAAAAATGAAGACATGTACATCGTTTTTATAAACTAGAAACACTATATCTAAGGTTATTATTATAAAACGTCTTTATAGGTATAATATTTATTAAAGCCCACGAACAAAATTCTACTGAACTTCCTTTCATGGTGCCACATGTGCCTATTATACCTTTATTGAGCATAATGTGTAACGTAGTATTGATGACCAATTTGAATATGTTAACGTGGATGCGATTTTTGATATGGATGGTCATAGGTAAACAATTCCAACTAGTCTTTTAAATATTTTTTTTAATTGAAAATTTAAAAAATAATAATTTAAAATAATTTATTTTTTCAGGTTTGCTGATTTATTTCTTATACGGGATTCATTATAGCAAAGAAAATGATGTTACGTCGTACTCTGTACTGTTATCATCTTCAGAAGCGGGTAAGACTCCTTGGGGTGCAATCAATAAGTCAAAAAAGAAATTGAAAGCCGATGACGATAGAAAACCAATTATTGACAATGAAGAACATCCAGATAACGGCTATTATCATTGAAAAGAAATCTGTAATTAATATTTTGATTTATATTACTGTACAAGGAGCAGTTACTGTAAAAAGTTTATTAATAGTGAGATAATAATTTTGGAAAGAATGTGTTGTTGTTAAAATGCCATCTATTTAAGTACTTATTTGAATGGTGCTCTATTTAAAAAACAAAATTATTCATCATGTTTTTAGATTATTAGATATTTCGAATGTTCATTTAATGCCTATGCCGATGAATCCGCACACAAATAAAATGCTTATTTATAATACCTAATCTTTGTAGAAAATGAATGTCTAGATTTTATAAAGTAAAATAATTATCCTAAATAGTATACAATGCTAAGTTCATCAAATTATCATTAGGTTGAAGTTTAAGCTGTAATAAAAATGAATAATATAGTTTCCTCTAATTTATTTGTGTCATTAATGCATAGGTAACATATATAAGTTAACATCATAGTCGAAATATAAAATAAAATGTTATTATTTTGTTGTTCGTTAAATTATTTGATTAATGTGTTATAAACATATATTTTATTTATTTATAAAATTATTAAATACTTTTATCAACAAAAGTATTGTCAACATTTTCAAAAATGATTTGAGTAAATGTTTATATATTGATACAGTTTAGGTACACTTATTATTTCTAGAAAATAAATTAAAAAATCATTAAGCGGATAATATTATTTATTTATTATTATTATAATATTATAACTATTATTTTTGAAATAGTTTAGAGTTTACTTTAAGTTATATTTAGTTAATTTTTTTCTGGTGCTAAAATTAAAAATTCAAAAATTTATAAACTATTATTCGTAGATTTTTATAGATAAAATTATTTTCTGACTTTTTTATTAATTTAAATTGAGTTAATTGTGTTAGTTTTTTCAAAAGTAATAAATATTGCTTAAGTGTTTATATAAAAAGTTAAATGAGATATTATACAAAGTATTCAGTAAGTAAGAAAACAGGTCAATAGTTATAAACAATGAGAACAATAGAAACTCGTTTCCTTACTTACTGAACACTCTATATATTGAATAGTACTTGTAAACAATTATTGTTAATACTTAAACGGTTTGGGTTTGTTATAAAAAATGATCAGGGGATGAAAGAAAAGCATAATTTTAGTATTTTATTAAAAGTATCATTAACTCTGACTCTGATATTTTTTAACAATAAATATAGGATAATAGGAAAAATAATCTTAACGCAAAGAAAATTTACCAATAATATTCGTTACTTAAAACAAAATAGATTAAAAGTATTCATTTTATTTCGTAGTCAATATTTAAATAAATTATTATATTTAATTTTCTTATCTAATGTTATTATTTGTAAAAACTCATATAACTTTAATGTAGTTTTTGAGCCAAAAATTAATTAGTTAAAATAATTTGTCAAAGAAAATTTAATAAGAGACATTTTTCTTGTATAAAATAATTGTTATCAAAAAGTGATCAAAATACTTAATAATGAAATAAAACATAAATACAATCTAAAACACTTTTTGTATTTTTTTTTTAATTAGATTAGTTTAATAAAATATATTTATTTATTTTTAATTATTACCTAGTGATTAATGTTTGTTTATACATAAACATTAATAGTCTTCGGTTTAGTTGAGAATTCTCGTTTGTACTTAATAAAAGTATTCAGTTTTTGGTCACAAAACATTTTATGTAAGTGAAAATGAACTTTTGATTATTCTTGTTCATTATATTACTTCATAAAATTTCATACTTACGCCTTTTTTGTTTATTAATTTCGAGTAATTAATTAAGTAAGTTATTTTTTTATAAAAATTCAAGATGGATATGTAGTTAAAAAAAAAATCGATTTTAACCAAACCGCAGACCATAAATCCGAAATGGTTAGTAATTAATAATATTACATACTAATATAAAGTTTTGATAAAGACGATTATTTTTATAAAAAAGTATTTTTTCGGTAAAACAATATCTAGTCACCATTAATTATTAAAATGTTATGATGCCTTTTTGAAAATCTGAAATGATAATCATTTAAAAATGTTTTACTTCATAAAATGTTTGAGGTTTTATGTAAATTGTTGTATAATTGTATAATTTTTCAATGTTTAAGTTACTTCAAATAAATTTAAATAGTATTTAGTAGTAAATGTAACAGTGTTTGATAAAATTTTCAAATAAGTGGAGTTATAATTTTAATTGTGTTAATATAATTTTATAAAAAATTTCATTTAAGGTAATGGTAAATGTTTTTTTTAGAATAAATATTCCCGCAATTAATAGGAATAATATTGTTTGAATACAACGCCCGATGGTATTCACGCGGGTGCGTTAACGTTCGCTGTTTTATTTTGTCTAAAGTTTTTAGCTATGTCGAGGATAAGGAATGAGGTGAGTGGACTGTATGTTTGAATGTAGAATGAATTTTACAATATATAATTATTACAATTAAATGTGTTATACGAGAAATATAAAATATTATATGCACCAATGTGAATAGCGGGACACTTAATACTAATGCCAAAAAGGCGCTGATATAAACAAATAATAAATTAAACAAGTTAATAAGTCTTAAAAAGATAGATGAACAAGCATTATACTTATCGGCTAAATGAAACGGTTGATGATAATGTTGAATATTGAAAGAATCAATTGAAGTCGAATGCAAATAGCTGACCAATGTGTACAATATGCTGGGAATGGTACTGTGATGTATCTCAGAAAATATATAGACTCAACGGCGATAAACTGAACGCACAGGTGCGACAAACGCAAAGATGATATTTTACTTTTACAACAAAACGAATATAAATAACTGGCTCGTAAAACGCCATAAAGCTTATATCAGAAGAAGAGTTTAGATGGCGGCGACAATGCGGACATAGAGAGAAGACCGACAACAACTCGATGTAACACAACGATAATATGAATAATCACAACACAATCTCTTGACAGCATATTCGAACGATGTATATCCAACAAATATTGTACAAAAATAATAATAATATTCTTATTATTCGTACAAATATCAAAATTAACAAAAAAATATTTTCTGAAAAACAGTATTTTAAATTACAGATGTTCAGAAAGATACCAACTTAGATAAATATTCAAAATATTTTGAATTTTGAGTCTTACTATCTCACTCTTTTTACAGTTTCCAATATATTTAAGAAAAGTGATTGCGTTCAAAAAGGCTTAAAGATAAAAAGTGTACAGTTATCAAAAATAATAATAAAAAAATTGAACATCAATAATGTACCTTCATTAGTAAAAGAATTCTGCTGTATATTTAAGCAAGTTTATGGTTATAGTTATGCGAACATAACTACAAATAAATTTTCAGCTACGTTTTCACCATATTCTATTTACGTACCCAAATACACAAAAAAGGGTTTCGAACCATATACAATGATAAAAAGTAAAAATAAGAGTAAATTGAATAATAATCCATATAAATATAGTGAGTTTTGCATTAACCTAAAATTTTATTTTAAAAGCAAATATATTAAGCTATTGCATATTTTATAATTATCATGAAGTCAATTTTTAAATAATAAAGTGAATCCAGAACTAATTTTTTTAGTTGTTCTAACAATAATATTTAGTTGAAATTACTAAATAAATCTAGTTAACTTATGAATAGTTTAACTATATGAATAGTTATCCTAACAATTTAGAGTCATTTTTCCATTTGCTCTGCTCTATTTAAGTTAATTAGTATTGTTCTTAATTTATTATTTATTTTACGCAATCATTTATTTGTTATTATTTTTAGTTATTGTTTGTTAAATAAACAGTTTTAAGTATTTTTATCAATGTAAATCAATTGCTTCATGATGATGATGAAGTGTCTAAATTTTTTTCATCTTTAAATAAACACCTCAGGGGGAGAGTAAAGTGTCTATATCAGTATCTACGATTTGATTTAGTCACGGTACAATTTTATTTTAATAGTTTAATAATAATTTTATGAAAACAATAGAGTATAAATGTTAAATAATATACATTTAAAAATGGGGTCATATTACAATTTCTTCGGCTTTCGACAACATTTTAAAATTGAATACGCATAAACAAATTAACCATAACTTGAGAAGTTCCCATTATTTGTTAAGTCTGCATAAAAAAGCTGCATTGTATATTGTAACCAATTTACATTGGTTACAATTGGCTAAAACCATGAAAATTGTTTATGATTCTGTTAATACAGCTGGTCATGTAAAAAAAGTCGCAACTCCCAATATATCTATTGATCAAAATCCGACTGGATGCTTTCATACTAAAATTCTGAATAAAAATACTATTTATAATGAGCGATACAAGCCATATTATGATCGCCATGAACTGAGGTAAAAATTTAAGTAAGACTTATACATTGTGTAAGTTATTGAAGTGTAAATTTACTTTAGAAATGTAATATAAATTAAAAATATGGTATCAAATAATCATATAAAATGTTAATGCTACATAGCAACACTCTGTAACTATGCTGTGTTATCTTTATTTTTTTTAGCCTCTTCGAATTTAAATTTTGATTATCAGTCAAGTTTACTTGGACAAATTAACTCTAAGTTTTGAAGTCCTCAATATATATATAAAACACCTCAAAATGACAATAAATATATATTATTTTCTACCCTAAAAATATATCTGTTATTATTAAATATGTTGATGGTTTAGTAAATATAGTTAACGATAAAGAATAGGACAGAACTTCTTGTTCAATGGTTGCTGAACAGAACAAAAATTGTCCTGAAATACAAGTTGCTGTAGAGACGGATTCGGAAAATTTAATAAAACCTCATAGAAACTTTATTTTACTCTCATTAAAATTAAAAGGTCCCGAATTTATACAAAATCACCTGTTACTGATGATTTTATTCCCCAATAATTATATTAATTTATAAAGTACACCCAAATATAAGTTATAGTTATACTTGGATTAATTCTTCTCTGTTATTTAAAGTTGAAGTATAACAAATTTGAAAGAAATTTTACTAAATGAATAAATACACTTATTGAATGAGTTCCCTATTATCAATTTGCTTCTATTTTATTTATAAAGCTATAAATATATTATAATAACATTTTTACATGATTATTTAATAGTTTAATTAATTAATTTTTATTACTTATACCAGAAATATTTTATTTATATTATATGTTTTCTTATTTCTAATAAATGTTAATATTTATAAAATTACATTGTTTAATTTAGGCCTAAAAAAAGACATGTTTTAATAGGCAATTAATAATAATATTTATGGATATAAGCTCGCTTCACTATTTTTAATAATAATTTACCATAGACAATCTTCCATCATAATTAAAAAATATGAAAACTTTCAATTGATAATTACAAATTTTTTCATTTCTACATGAAATAGTACCTGGAAGTTCTTTTATTTAGATATTTTGTGAGACATTATAAGTGATTTGGATTTCAATTATAAAAAAATAAATTACAGCAAAAATTTTAAGGGTAATATACTTGGAATTTTGGTAGTAATGAATAACGTCGATTTTCATTGCTGCTTTCAAGACTCTACGGAGAGGACATGAAGAAAACTTGTAGTCGATTTTCATGTTCTATTAATATTTGCAGTGACTGATTTAAAGAGAAATTAAGAAAGTCTGGATACCTCTAGACATTAATAGTTTTATATTATATAATATATAAATATAGATATATAGTCCAAGTAAATTATTCATTAGGACTACCCACCAGAAAAAAGTTGAAAATTTGTTACAGAACATGGGATTAATTGATTGTATAATTATAGTTAAATTAATAAAAAATCTCAACAAAAATTAAAACCAAATCAAATAAATATAATTTTTAATTTTAAAAATATTAAGTTGACTTTTTACTTTAAACAGTAAAACTCTTTCTCGCTATACAATGAAGAAAAACTTGTGGTATTTTAAAAATTCTAATTTTTAAAAATGCCAATTATTTATTATGAAAAGTAAAAGTTTTAAAAAGACAAAATACTTTTAATCTTAAAATAACTAAATGTAAGAAAATTAAATATAAGTCAACAAATTAAATTTTTAATAAAACTTTTAACAATTCAAAAACAATATTAAATATTTATAAATAAACTTATCAATATAACAATATATTATCACAAAAAAAAAAAAAAAAAAAAAAACAACTACATTGCAAACCTTATCAAATTTAATGCATTAATTTTATATGCCTCTGCAAATGAGCTTTTGAAACAAATAATTTGAAACATATACTACATTGGTGACCTTGACCATTATGCCGCTTGAAATGCATATCTCTATACATTTTTGTCGTAAATGTCTTGTTACACAACTCACATTCAAACTTTTCAGGTAAGGTTGATAATTGAGAATCACCTGGATGCATATTCTTCTTATGAGTATCACAATGAGTTTTGCATTTAAATGTCCGTCCACATTGTTCACACATAAATGGTCTTTCATCAGTATGACATAGTTGATGTTTGTTAAGGCCAGCATTTGTAGGAAAACTTTTGCCACATATTTGACACATGTAACGCTTACCTTTATGGCGACTACTGAAAATATAGAAACTAAACATTAATAACATAAAATAAAATATATGTTAAATTGAATTACTTCACGTGGAGTGTCAAATATTCTTTAAAAGAAAATGCTTTATCACACATAGGACATTTGAATGGTTTATCCAATGTATCGGCATTATGAACTATCATCATGTGACGATTACGGTGATGTTTATAGGCAAAACATTTATTGCATTCAAAACATCTGGAAATTCAAGAAAAGATTTAATAATACCAAAAATAATAACAAATAGTTTAAAATAGAATAATAAATTACAAATAAAATATTTTTACACATGTTATGGTAACCTATTAAAACTCATTAAAGTTAGAATTTATTTCTATTCAATTTTAAAATCACAGACTGTTTAATACCATAGAAATAAAACCAAATATTAACTTTCTCAAAAGTTATAAATGTGTTAAAGCTTTTATGGATTGTCTTGTTGCTTAGACATTTCTCAGCATTTCATATCTCATACTGTATCCACATTACTTTAAAATTTGTCAAGAATAACCGAAAAAAATATATATAAATACAGTTTTATAAAGTTAAACTCAACATTAAATTTCTTAAATTTAATATTTTTGTGTCATAATATCATAAACTGAAAGTATGAAACATATATACAGAAATTCAAAATGTCTATTCATTAAAATTTGCAAGAATTATTTTTATATAAAAGTCAATTTAGTAATATATTTATACTTATGAGGTTTATTGTTAGTATGTTTCCGCCTATGATCATCCATGAGATGTTTACGGTTAAAATCTGTATGACATATTTCACATTGGTAAGGTGCAGCATTATTATGCTTTTTTCTCATATGACGACCAATTCTTGAATAGCTAACAATAACTAAACATATTCTGCATACAGTATAGCTAACACGTTTTCTCGATGAATTTGTTGACTGATCCTTATTTTCATAATCTTTGTTTGGTAAAGGCAACCTAATAAAAAGTTATGTTAGTATTTTTTATTTTTTGATAAATCTGTAATAGTTAATACTAACTCAGTAAGGTCTACTTCGTTTTTTATACTTTGATCAAGTAATTCAGGTTTTTGTATTTTATAGTTATCTGATTCATTATCAACAAATCTAACACAATAGTTATTAGATGTTACTTGTTCAACAACAACTCCATTAACATTATCAGATATATTATCTAGTTCAGCAAACAATTGATCTAAATGCTCAGGACGAGTTGGGCTGTTTTCAACTTGGTTCGAAGAAGTAAAAAAGACAGGTTTTTCGATATTGTTACCAATATGTTTTTTTAAATGACTTCGTAGACCAATAGATTGTGAGAAACCAGCATCACAATAAGGACATAAGTATTTCATATTATTGTAAACATTATGTGACTCCATATGAATCTCAAGATCTTTTTTAAATGAAAAATCTTTAAAACAATGTTCGCAAGTATATATATTACTATATTTATGCATGGATAATTCATGCACTTGTAAATGTTCTTCAATATCAAATTTTAATTCACATTTGAGACATTGGAAAGAACTACTTTTTTCTAAATCATTTTGGTGGAAAGTTTGAATATGTTTACCTAAATCAGGAAATATTGAATGACACATAATACATTCACCTTTAAATACACTTTTTTGTTTTTTAATGTTAACAGGGGAATTACAAAACAACGTGTCAGAGAACTCATATTCAATGTTACAGTCATCACTATTTTCTTTTTCTTTTCTATCTGTAGGTTGTTTCTTTTGACTAATTAATCTAAAAAATATATATATATATATATATATAAATAAGTTATAAATACTAAATAGTGTATTTATTAATATTTATAATAGTACTTTTTTTTTTTTATCTCCATTATATCAACTTGTTCTAATTGTTTATGAGTTTTTTGGTGATCTAATAATTTATTATGATCAAAATATATTTTATCACAATCTAAACACATAAATAATTTTTCTCCATTCTGTATTCGTTTGATAGAATTGGATGATAGTTTTATTCTGCGAACTCCTTTATTAGTATCTTTGTTTTCTTTTTTGTTTTGAGTAGAATGAATAATTGGTTCATTTGTTTTTGGTATAAGTAACTTGGAAGGAATAGGTTTCCTAAAATTAAGTGTCACTATTAAACATTGAATTATTGTATACATTTAAGATCTAAAGTAAAATAAAAACTAGCTATGTGAAATGATATTTTAATAAAAATCTATTTTTAATATTTTAAGCATGAGATTGTCAAAAGAAATAACTATTAAACTATTGTTAGAAAATACTAAATAAATAAAATGTGTGTTTACAAAATATTTTGGATTCCTAAATTTAATGATGATGCTGTAGATGGAATAAATAATATTTTAGAATTTTTAACTTGTGTCAGACCAACAGAATTTGGTATTTTTGGTAAAATACATTTTTCAGTACTTTTTTTTTCATTGGGTGTAGAGCTGCATATGTTATTTCCTGGTCTGTAAAAAATCAGTAGTAAATATCTAAGAAAATAACTGAAAAAAAATTAAAAATCTTACGAAAAAACAAATGAAGGAACTGATGAGTTTGTAGGAACTGCAGCTGGAAGAAAAAAAATCTTTGAATTGGGCCCACTTAGCATGTTAATTGCTTGAGAAATTGAAAATTGACTTCCATCAACAACTTTTTTATAGGATTTTATTTTATCATCAGATACATTAATAAAAGGCGGTGAGTTAATATCTGATCTATAAAATAAAATACTTTTTAAAAATAAAAATATGTAAATTTAATAAAAAAATTTCCTTACATTTGTGTAGAATTAACTTCACAATTGTTGGTGGTTTTCAAATACGTATGATCATTCTCAAAGGCAATGTATCGACTGTCTACTTCTGCCATATTATAATATATCCGCACTTAAATGAAAAATAATTAAGATTAATAAAGAAAAAACTTAGAACGTCCATAATAACTCCAGCATTTTAAAATTTCAATAAGTTTTTTTTGTTATTAATTACTTTTTAACTTAATTAAAAAAAACTGTGTCCAATCAGTTTAAAGAGTAAGTCATAAAATTAATTAAAAAAATTGAAGAGATACATAATAAAAGTTAAGTAATGGATTCGTAAATACAATTATCGCAAGTTGCTCATATTTCGTACTCCAAAAATTAATATTTGTAAGTCAGTATTTGAACTGTCTCTTATCAATTTTGCAAAAGATAAATATTATAATTTAAATTTAACTGAGGTGAAGAAATATTTGAAAGGGTATGCTTTGAAAATTTCAAGAATGAAGACCGCGATTCAAAATATTAAATTAGTGTTTACCTTATAATTAACACGCTATTAACTTACCAATTTTCCGTTGAAAATTATATCATATTCCGAAATTGTTTGTTAATGCAATCATTTAAATTTTTAGATATTAACAAAATAAATTGATTAAAATTAATATTTATAGTTATAATTAAAATATTAAAAAATTACGTTTTGATAACATATTTAGTAGGTATGTCAGCAATGTAATTGAGTTTTCTGATTATTGCGCATTTACCAAAGGTTCAGAAGAATTGATAAAATCATTAGGTTATACTATTATCATGGAAGATACATCATAGCATGGAATAAAATATCGAAAATTAATATTGTTAAGTAATAATGTGTTGGATATTTATAAAATTTTCTTTAAGTTATTCAGAATTTTACTGTAGCAAAATGGAAAATAGGGTTTTGAAATCCTCCTTTTTAATTTACTATGTTAAATTTAAATTTCTGCAAGGCTTTAGACTAAATGACAAAATAGTTTTGATCTATTTTGACATGTAAATCTAGTCCCAAATAATCTTATTAGAAAAGATAAGTTTTAGGTTTATTAATTATGATCAATGTTTTTTTAGATTAAATTAAGAAAAATGCTTTCAATTGAGAAAAATCCTTCCAAGGATGCGTTATCAAAAATTCATAATTGCTGTTATTTTTGTACAATTTACTTCAACACTTTAAATCTTAGTGAAGTCAACATTTTTCAACTCAAGAAATATTTATTTGACTCAACAAATATCTAATAAACGTTATACTTATAAAGTCAACGGCTTAATAAATTAAAAAAATATATAGAGAATTATTAATTTATAGTTGATCACTAAATTTCTCTTACATTAATTTTAAAAATTTTTTTCTTATTTTTGTTGAGTAATATTTATTTCTCGATTTTATATGTGGTTAAATATTTTTTAGGTATATACCTTATAAGAGTATTACCTTAATTTTTAATAAAAATATATATGTTCATATAATAGAAAATGATAAATTTAAAAAAAATACTAATCGATAATCACTTTTTGAACCAATATTTTGGATGTTAATAAGACTGATATATCGGGGTGTGAGTTACGTTATTTTGCTGCTCAATTATAAAAATATTACTGGTATGAGTTGTCATCGATCATTCAATTTTTTAATTAGACTATTTTGTATTGTTCGATATAGTTAAATAAGTATATTTACATTTAATATAATTAGTAGACACCCTTATAATGGATATAGGATATATCCTAAAAATATTTAACTATTTATAAATCAAGAAATTAATATACTCAAGGTCAATTTTTTTTATTATTTCTTAGGAGAAATATAGTCTACATATATTCCTAATTAAGCTTTTATTTCAGTACCTGAGAATCTAATAGTTTATTAGACAAGAAAAAAAATAAGCTTTTTTATCCAAGATATTTAATATATTTGTTGAACATTATGTTATAACATCTTAAGACGAGCAAGTTTTCTTTAATAGTTATAAAATAATTTTGGTAAGTTAAGTAAAAGTTACCATCCCTCTATCTTTTGATGGATCAACTAATTAACTAACTAAAAGAATTAAGTTATAGATATTAAATTCTATTATTACAACAAAATGAAGGCTGATTTTATGGTTCACTAAATAATAACAATTTTTATGAATTAAAAAACAAATTAAAATAAAGGAATAATTTATAAAACTTATGACCATATTGATTGTGCTATTTTATTAGATTACTAATAACGAAGTAGTTTTTATAATATTTAATTCTTAAAAGATACATTAACTCTATGTGTATACTGTATAAATAAAAGGGTGAATCGAAATTCCTTAGTATAAATTTTATTTTTGAATAACAAGTCAGAAAATATTTATCTGATAAATTACAATAAAATTAACAATTTTGTAACTATTTATAAAATAAATTTGTTTAAGTATATTTTTCAATAGATTGTAAAGTATTTATCATCTAAAATTAAAACATTTGAGTCATTTTTATGTAAAAGAAAACAATTTCATAATTTTGAGTGAGTTAAAATAAAATTTAATATGTTGGTAATGATTAATTATACATTTATATTAATTAAAAGTGAAATTATAAAATAAAAAGTAATTTGAAGATATCAATATTTATAAGAAACATTAATTTTATTTTCACTTCTTAGGACAATTTTACTTTCTTAATTTATTTTTGAACACTACTTAAAGACAGACAGACCAGACAAATGTAAATTAAGTATAAATAAGTATACTAATTATAAGATGCCTAAGAATAAATAAATACTGCATTCATACAAAAATACACATTCAGAACAAAACAGACATTCAGATACATTGTTTTTCATTAAATAAAACAATTATTATATACATTTAAAATATTTAACAATTATTATTCAATAATCAGTCAGTCACACGAGCCGAGTAAATGAGCTCAATCATTGTAAACTAAAAAATAATAAAAAAAAAATTTCTCACTTAACCTTAAAATCCGTACACTAGTAGTAATACTAAATTAGAGTAGCACATTTACTCATACAGATATACAAAATCACAGACATGTTTCGGTTCCATTTATACTAGAAAAATTACATAGGCACTATTAAAGACAATCATACGAGAGGACAAACGATCGATAGTCTCACGTTTTAAATTAAATAGATTTACATTGAAGGAGTTTTAATTTTTTGGAGTTCTTTGGCGGACCATCGTGCTAAACTTTTAGCTGTTGCATCTGTAGACTGGCGACCTTTAAATAATAATCCATGAACTTCAGGGTTGTCTAAAATTGGACATACTTTAGCACCAAATGCTGTACATAAATCTCCCACAAGGCCACAACAACTTTTTAATATTCCTATATGTGCATTAGGATCACCACATATAGAAATCATATATTGTACTATAAATGGTAAATGAGGTTCAAGAAGGTATACATCTGGGTTCGGTGTAATTTCTTCTCCTTTTAATCCTTGTACGATACCAACATAAGCTGCTAAGACACCCTCACGGAGTTCATTTAAATAATCTATTATATCTGCATCATTGGGGTCTAATTGAAGTTGTGCAACTTGAACTAAAGCATTAAGAACATGTTCCAAGTACTTTTTGAATTCTGCTCCAATACCAAGAGCTATATCTCCAAAAGTGGAGAGAATTTGTGGTTTTAAATTTCTATTCACTGTATTGTTGCGAAGAGTTTCAAATAAAAGAGCAAATATTTGGTCACAATAAGGCGCTAAATTTTCACGAAGAGCTCGGCTTAGGTCACCTACTAAACCTATTGCAGCTAAGCACACTTGAAATTCCATATTGTTTTGAAGACCAATAAATAAATATGACTTGAAATACTCCATATATTTATTAAATCCTTTCCCAAGATTTTCAACTAATGGACTTATAGCCATTAAGGCGTCCTCTTGCAAACCACTATCTTTGCTGGTACTTAACATTATTAAAAGTGCATTCATAACAGCATCAGCTATTTTTTCTACATCTTCACAACTCATTTTTCGAATAACACTCTGTAAAGTAGCACACAGCAATCCTTGCATATCCAAACAATCATCATTTATTGATTGTAAATTAATAATCTGGTTTAAGCGACTTAGAACTATTAAAGTTGTGCCTTTAACAGTCTCATAACAATCAATTGGAGCACACTTAATCATATCCATAAGTGCTTCATAAGCAGCAGATCTTAAATTTGATCGCATCCCATCCCCTCTTTCTGTTGTTTCTAGTAAACCTTGTACAATGTAATCAAAGTATGGTGTTAAAACAGTCATTTCTTCACCAGTAGCTTGAGCTAAACTACTAAATGCCCAACAAATATTTGTGGCAACTCGAGGTTCTGATTTAAGTCCTTTTATAAATACTCCCAAAACATCACTTAAACACGGAGAATTAATTATTAGATCTGGCACAAATTCAAAAATACGACCAAATGTCCAAGCAGATGTATCTTGAACAGCTATACTTGAATCATACATTAAATGTATTAAAACTGGTATATAAGGTTCAAGTAAAGTCTTTAAAGCATTTTGATCTAAACCACCTAAAATTGATCCAAGCGTCATTACTGATGCATCTCTAAAACGCCAATCAGGACTGTTAATATTTGAATTTATAAATGGAATTACATGAGGAACTATATTATTTTGACAACAAGTGGCTAGTAACATAATACAAACACCAGCAGATTTACATGGATTCCAATCATCGTCGTCATCTCCTTCCTCTTGTGTAGTGAGTTTTTCCATTAAAACAGGAATAATAAATTCTAAAGCGCCTTCAGAATACATCATAAGTTTTTTATCATTATTTCCTTCTTGACATTGTCTTTCATAAATAATTTCAGACTCTTCTTCAGCAACACTAGACCAAAACTCAATTCCTTGAAGAGCCACTTCATCTAGATCACATTTAATAGCTTGCAAAGTAATTGGAAATAGAGTAGTCATATATAATTCCATATATTCATAATATAGAGAAACAATTTTAACAAGACATTGTAACGCACCAACTTTAATTTGAGTATCAGGAGATTGAGTTGCTTTGCATACAACTTCCATGATATAATCTCGTTCATTTTTTTTTTCAAAATTCCCTTTAGTAAATTCTAAAGAATTATAGAGGGCTGTAGTAGCTGCTAGACATACATGGTTGTTCATCTGTGTCATACCATGAACAATAGCAGTTAGTACTGTATTTGATTCTGCTTTTAAAATATCTCGATCTGTTTCTGCACAAATGTAGCCAATAGTTTCCAAAGAAGATTCTTTTAAAATGTCCGTTGAGTTAGGATCTGTCACATTAGCAGCAAGTAATGAAATAAGGCCAGGCCATAGGTTTAGAGGTAATTCAATTATAGCAACATTGGCAACACATTGAGCAGCTGAGCTTGGTCGACTTTCTGTACCAAGGGCTTTAAATATGTTTTCCTTAATAAACATACGATCTTGTTCAGAAAATGATAACCATCTTTGTTTCATTTGTATTTTAACTGCCTCATCTTTTGATGTAATATGGTTTTTAATCTGAAGTCCAGCTGCAATACGTGCAACTGGATTGTTAACAGAATAAAGAAGAACATTTGACAAAGTTTTAAGAAAACCAGGCAAATTTGTCTGGGCAGCATGTTCTAAAAATTTTTGTATTTGATTTAGCTCTTCTTTGTCAGTAGATATTGTGCGTTCTAAAAGATTAGTAATTTGAATCACTTCTTCGTCGTTCATAATGATTGCCTATTCTGTATTTATGAGGCAAAGCTAGAAAACAAAAAACTAAATTACAAATTTTTTCAACAAAAATAATCAAAATCAAAATCAATATTCTTATTTTAAATTAATATAACATTAATACATTATGAAATAATACAACTCATATGTAACTGTATTTGTTAACATTTTATTAAAAGACTGGAAATTCCCAGAATTAGTGGTGTAATTCAAGTTTAAAAACTATTTCATTAATTTTAACTAGAGCTCCAGTATTTAAATTTAACTGAGTAACTTTCTCAAATATTATTACACTCCATTTTAACTTATTCAATATTGATTTTCAATTCAAACTTAATCAGTTACATATTTAAATAACAGACATAAGTACAATAGTATTAATTATAAATTAATAGATATGTATATTATATACAATATATGTAGTGAGTTTAAAGAAACTTAATAACATGTATTATTATAAAAAATTTAAGTAATAAAAAGTAGTACAACTGTTTTAGTAATTTGTAACATTATATATACAGTTGTAGAGACATATTATTTGTCTATTTTACATTAAAATTGCAAAAATATTGGAAATACTAAGTAATTATCAATTTTTCACAATTATACAATTTTTGCCTATTTATTAGTATTCATATATGAGAATATTTCACGAGAAAGTTAATACATTAATTTTAATAGAAATTATAGCGAATTATTAATGAAAAGTGTATGGATAATATATTCAAAAACAATAATAAGAAAAAATACAAGAACTCTAAAACATTTAAAGCTCCTATTGATAGTACATGGAATAATGATTAATATATATATATATATATATATATATATATTATTTAATTATGAATAAATAATTACATAATGTATGACTTACTAGATTAAGATAAATATAATATTTAAAAACTAAATCTACACAAATATAAAATAAATATAAGTTATAATAGCTTGTACTAGTGTTGAGAAAGCCGTTTAGTAATTTTCCTAATTCGATAAGGCTTATCAAGTAAATAAAATGGCGTGCGATAATTTATCCTTTTTTTTTTTAAATTACGTCTATAAGTTTGTACTAATTACCTTTATTTGCAAAGTTGATCAATCATTTTCAATTAATATAAAAAAAACTAGGAAATAATGATATTATGTTGCACTTCTTTATTGGCAAAATTAATTTTTCATGACTATATGTTTTTGCCGCTATTTTTGAGGTTAAACTTTAAGACAGTTCATAATAAACATTTTTGTTGAGCTAAGAAACCTAAAAAATTTTGCCTTATTGAAAACATAGATATTTTATTATTTAAAAAATATATATTCCGTAGTTTATTTCATTAAAAAAAGTTGTTTTATTAATAAGAAACTATTTAATCATATAAATTATTCTTATCAATTTTATTTCTTATTTATTCTGTCAGGATATAAAGAGAACGTATTATTACAAATGGTTTCTTTTTTTGCTGAACATTTTATCTTTATTACATTTTTAGGAACTCTAACCATTCCCCCACGACCAATGATGATCTCTAAAATATCCAATACAAAAATATGCGGCTATCATATATAAGCATTCAAAATTAGTTTAATATTCTATGGGTTATACTCTTTTAGCTTTAGTTGTTTTATTATTAGCTCTAAAGTAATAAGTGAAATAGGGAACTATATAAGTTACCATTGTCATAAATATACAAATCAAATAATATTTGTTAAATAACAGTTATTATAAAATAATACTAAAAATAAAATTATTGTTTATGTCATTATTAGTAAGACTAAAAATTAATTATTTTGAATATATAAATTTATGAAGAACAAAAATTAATTTTAATTATAACTATGTATTTGGAATTTGCTGCAGAATAATATATTTTTAATACTAATGTAATAATAATAACATATATATTTATTTATAATAAATTATAACGGGACAAGCCCAAATAACAAGTTAAACATAGAATATAAAACAACATAATAATAGTATTTACAAATATGTGTTTAATAAGAATATTGTACACATCTATCATATAGCCATCAATGGGGAAATTTCTTCATCCAAAAATATCAAAACTTCAGTTTTACCAATTTAGCACATAGACGATTTTTTTTTTCAACGTGGTGTGATGCAGTGGATCATTCAGACGCCACCTTAGTGCCAATGCTCATAAGTTACGTTTGTAGCCCAGTCAAGCTCCACGTAGTTTATCACCACCCACCACCTTATCACCGATTGACCTTTGACATTCATAGTAGTCGTATCCGGCACTATCGGCACCTAGGTCGGTACGTTCATGTACGGTGGTTAAACCATACTGTTGAATCTGATGAATCCTAGCCCGTGAACTAGCATAATTTTTTTGACGATTATGCCAGTACTTGTACAAAAAGCAAGTGTACAATTCCACGACTGGATCTAATTTCAAATAATTATAGAGGGGGTGGAATCGAAAAAATATTAATTTACATATTAAGTCATGTATCAATTGATTTTTAGTGCTACAGTGTTGGGATTTTTTTATTGTTAGTAGTTTTCTTGTTTCTATATCTTTTAGTTTGATATTTTTATAGTTAAGATAGTTCTTGAATTTTTACCTTTAGTTTATAGTTATCTAATTAATTTTTTTATTTTAAAATACTGAATAAGGAGTATGCAAGAGAGACATTAGAGTATATATTCTGGTAGGTTTAATTAGTGAGAAGTAGGCGTGGGAGGCTGTGGCATCAATGAAAGAGAATAAATCAGTAGGACCAAATGAAGTGCAATTAGAAATATGGAAAATATTAGGCGGTGTTAGCATAAAGTGGTTGAAGGATCTTTTTAATAAATTCATAATAGAAGGAAAAATGCGAAAACATTGGAGGAATAGTATTGTAGTGCCGATAATTAAAGGCAAAAGAGATATACGGGAGTGTGCAAATTGTAGAGGCATAAAACTTATGAGTTATAATACAATGATTTGGAAAATGATAGTAAACAAAAGAATAAGAGGAGAAACATTGATAACAAAGAATCAGTTTAGTTTTTTGCCTGAAAAATTAATGATGAAGCCAGTTTTTTGTGCGAGACAATTAATAGAAAAGTAGGAAATGAAGAAAAAGCTGTGTATGGTATTTATAGATTTGGAGAAAGCTAATGATATAGTATAATGGGAAAAAAAAGAGTCCCAAAAACAAGTACTTTGTACTTGTACAAAAATATAACTTATTCAACTTAAGATTTAAAAATATTCCTGAAATACTGGGTCCTTTGAACACATGTTATATTAAAGCTTATGTTATGTACTATAAATTAAAAAAAAAAATTTCTCCGGACGATTATCTTTTACGTGCAAATGGCTGCCGTAATTAAAAACGTGCTATTTTTGTGTTAAAATTTTCGATTTACATTTTATTAAATGTATGGATCAACACGATTTTTTTTTAGAAATCCATAATATGTACTCCTTTTATCCAACATACTTTTTTTTAAATAAAACCATTTTTCCTTATATAGGGGCCTTCAAAACTTGAAAATTACGTATAAAAAGTTAACTTTTTCAATTTAAGATTTGAAAATGATCCTAAAATACTGCGTCCTTTAACATATGTTAAATTAAAACTTATTTTAAGCCCTATAATTAAAAAAAAAATTTGTCCCTACGACTTGCTTTTTACATGTTATCAAAAAAATATTATTCTAGTGTAAAAGTCACCGTTTTTTGTATTGTCATAATTTTTTACATCAATTTTAGTTCCGATGCAAAGCTGAGAAGATATTAGTTTTTTATTCCTATATTTTTGTATGTGTTATATGCGAAAATCTAATTGCAGATTTGAAATCAGGGTGAAAAATATATTTTGGATCCTGATGAAAATTCATTCTAGACCATTTATTCATAGTTAACAACAAATGCAAAGTTTTGTATCAAGCCATCCATTTTTATACGTGTTTACCCAAAAGGTAACACCTAATTTATAATTTTTTCATAAAAATTACAATACTAAATTATTAAATATCAATTTCATACTAGATTTAATTACTATAATTAGTATTTATTCATATATTATACTTATAAATCATAAAATTGCTAATTAGGAATAATGAAGGAAATAGGAGTTATTTTGGATTCTGGAATAATCCTCCAATTTTAGCTTCGATGCGAAGCTGAGAAGGTATTGGTTTTACTATGATGTGTTTTTTTTTTTTGTGTCTGTTACCACTTTTTCTCAGCTCTCACCAAACCGATTTCTTTCAATGATACGTCAAAAGATCACAAATTGTATCTAGTCGAAGACATTACCCTCAAAAATTGAAAAAAAATTCCTCGTTCCCCGTAAATGGGGGAAACCTCCAAAAAAATTACAAATTTAATAATTGCTAATTTTCGAAATTTTTAAAATTTTTTTTACTAAAAACAGCCGTAACTTTTTCAAAAATGAACATATCAATATAATTTTTTATATAGATGCTTGATGTCTTTACTTATTATTTGGTATATTTTTTTTTTAAATTTGATACTTAATCTGCCCACAGGGGGGGATTTAAAATGACAACTTTTTCACAAAAAATTAACTTTTTCAACTTAACTTTTGAAAATGTTCCGGAAGGTCTGACACTTTTATATATATCTTAAATTAAAGCTAATATAATGTACTTTAATTTGAAAAAAAAAAAAATTGACCTCTGGACTTGTCATCATGGTGAAAATGGCTACCGAATGCTATTTTTTTGTAAAAATTTTTATTTTGTATTTTACATTTTTAACTTTATTATGCTATAACTTCCACACTGTGGGCGACTCCACTGTGCTTTCGTTTTTTATGTTCTAATTAAATAATAACTGATATTTCAATAAATTAAGACTATTACTTACCTACTAGGAACATTTAATAAAATTACCAGTTGTCTAATTCAATTTTTCAAATATTAAAAATTTAAGGTAAATAACTTATTATTTACATTGGAACAAACAAGTTATTAAATTTATATTTTGAACTACAAGAAAAAAAGTAACTTTCAACTACTACTCTAACTTAAGTTACTATTTTCATCAAAGTTAATAATTCCCGTACGTTAGTATGATAATACTAAAATTATAAAATAGCGTCCCTATATTTTTTAAAAAATAGACATTTTGTAGTAAAGTTTATTTTTAGATATCACGGTAGCTTAATACTTCAAAAATAGTGATTTCAGTTTCTTTTAATTTTGTCAAAAAATAATAACATATTACTTATAAAAATTAAACGAGTTATAATAGTAAATTCATAGAAGTATGTGTTAAGCGCTAATAATGGAACATTGTTCTTGAAATACGTATCCGCAATTTTTAGTAATTTTTTTGTGGCTTTTCGAGTTAAATAATTTTAATATTTTTCAGTTTCAAAATTAATTATTTTTAATATAGTTTTAATTTTAAATAGTAAATCTATTATTAACTTCAACGTAAGAAATGATCCAAAAATTACCATATGTCAGCAGTATGATATTTTTAATATACACGTTAATTTTACATACAAGTAATGTAATTTTGACATAAAGTATCGAAAATTCATACATAAATATAACATTTTCAACACTATTTATCCTAATTTTCCCTTGCATATATACTGGGCATTATAATAACACGCTCAATTACACACAAAATAAAAATAATTTTAGATCAATTTTAGGATTTTATTAGTTACATATATTTATTAACTACTATTTTAATTCATCTCTTATACTTTTTTAGAATGTCCACTAGAATATGAGTGTATGACAAATATTGTTACATTTATACGCTTTACTTCCAATCAACATTTTAATATTGTCATAAAATTCCGAAATAATGACATAAAAGTTATTATCGAACAATAATTAAGAAAATCTCATTAAGAAAATTAATTTTCATAATGAGATTATTTTCAATGTTATTAGCTAATTATTAGTTAATAATTAATAACTAATAAATCATGAGATATATGATTTCAAAAATACCAAAAATAATTTTCTTAACATAATTATTATTTTAGGAGAAATCTAGTGGATAATATTAGAAGAATCATTGTGAATAATAAAATTTATTGATATCATAAAGTAAATATAAAAAAAATCACAATAACAAACTATTACTTATGAATTTAAATGTTCGAAAAAGATTTTTAAACACATAAAACAAATTAAGCATAAATAAATAAAGCAACCAAAAAATATTTTAAGTTACGCAATAAAATTATAATTTTTATATCTTATTTTCATCTTTCATATATTTTTTGTAAAATAATAATTATATTGCAAACTATCTTTTACGGTTAAATCAATCATTTCGGCCAAAAAGTCGGCATAGCTTGGAGAATTGTTTAAATGAAATTTTGGTCCAAAATAAATTGATTTATATTTATTTTCAAGAGGTATTTTTTTTAAAAATTTGCATTTCTTTTTTGAAGACTTGAGTTTATTATTGAACAATTGTTCTATAGAGTACTTATATTCCAGTATATTTCCTTTATAACTATGATGTTTATTCACATTTTCTAGTACTTGTAACAAATGTTTTATATCTATTCCGTAATTATCTAATAAGAATGTATAATTTTCAACCAAAAGAACTATAAAGGAAATAAAACTTTTATTTTTGATAATAAATAATTCTAGTATTTTCTCACAACTTTCAAAATTATTACTTTCACTTAGATTTCTAAGATATTCATCGACCAAATATAATAACAGACGATTAATTAATTTGATTTGTTCTAGATATTTACACATTAGGAAACCAGCAATCAGTTTTAATTTTTCTTCGTAATTATTATTATTCGCCCCAAAGTGTTGTGTTAATGCATATACTTTTTCTTTTTCTTCATTAACATTTCTACATTCGATAATGTACTTTTTGTATTCATCGTTATCAAAAAGACTCTCAAAAGGATATTGTTTATTATCACTTAAAAATACAATGTAATTGAAATCCATTATACAAAATCGTTCAACGATGTTGTTAAGCTGAATAATTTGATCTAAGCCAACCGAAAAAACAAAACTATGTAGTGAAAATAAAAATAACATAATAACAAACTCAATAAAATTATTTAACTTCATTTTCATTCTTTATAGTATTAAAAACTTAATACTGAATTAATATAGTAATTAACTGTTTCAAAAATAAATTCTGTTTTGTAAAGAAGTGTAATACATCTATTTTATGCACTATTTTGTATTTTTCTTTTTCCGATTTATTTAATTTTTTAAAAATAACTTTTTTATTCATTCTAATTTAATAAAAATCGCAATAAATTATTTTAAGAGCTAATACTTTTCTTCTACTTTACAAATTTGATTATTTACCGTAATTTTACCTCAAAAGTATATTTTTTGAACTATATTTCTTCAAATATACGATTGAAATACGTAAATTAATTTTAATTAATATTCTTTAAAATATTATTTAATTTTTAATGTCTTTCAAGTTATGCCAATTTTTTTGCGAATAGATTGATTTAACCATAAAAGTGTAAAAAATAAGTTATCTACCTTTAATTTTTAATGATTGAAAAATTGAATTAAAAAACTGGTAATTTGATTAAATGTTCCAAGTAGGTAATTAATAATTTTAATTTATTGGAATATTATTTATAATTTTATTAGAACATAAAAATTAAAAGGTCCAAAATAACGAAAATATATATTAACAGTATGACAGTGTCAAAAATATTCATATATATTACAACACCATATATATTACTATTTAGTTCAGTACTGGCAATAGATATTGAGTGGCTTGGGGGTAAATCATAATTGGGACGCCCTAATAATATAAAAAATATATATATTCAGTATCAATTCGTACTAGAAGACTCATACAAATTTTTAAAAATCTCTATTGCCATCAATACTAGATTTAATATCTATATCATTCCAACATTATTTATCAGTTATAAAATTTATTACTGAAATATGATCACATTAAAAACACTAGTTTTTCCTGATGCATCTATAAAATTATTTTGTAATTCTTTCATAAAATTAAATTCGCATATTTCAAAAAATTCATGACGTGAGTTTTTTCAATTATGTTATAATATAATATTATTTTGAAAACAATTGATTATTATTGAAGTTTAAATTTCTTTGAATCTTTTGTAAAGTACTGATACTAATTTTTTCAACTTAAATTTTGAAAATGTTTCGGGAATACTGGTACTTTAATTTATATACTTTAATATATCTTAAATTAAACTTTATGTCTTTTTTTTCCTCGTCTTAATCCCAACTATTTGGGGTCGGCCAATTAAAGTTTATGTAATATAATTTAATTTAAAAAAAATTTGACCTTTTGACTTGTCGTTGTGGTCAAAACGGATGTCATTTTTAAAGAAAAAAGTACAATTTTTGTGTGAAAATTGGAAAATTCAAAAAATGATTGTATAAAAATTTATTTCAAAATGTTTTTAAGAAATTTTAGTAAACTTCATTTGCGTATTATGATGGGGAGGTTAAATAAAATAAATTATTAACAATAGTTTGTGATAAATTTCAACTTCATAACTGAAATTATAATTTATTTTACGGGTCAGAATAATTGAACTTAATTTTCTTTTTGGTGATTCGTTAGTCTTAACTATAATATTAAATTGTTGAATATCAATTTAATACTATATTTAATCACTATAATAAGTATTAATTTATGTATTATACTTATAAATCATAAAACTTTTAATCAGGGTATAATTTAAGAAATAGGAATTGATAATGCTTTATAATCTAACAATTTTTTCTAAAAATAAACAGTACCTATAGATTTGTATAGAAGCGTATTTCATACTTTAATTATTGTCAGATATCATCTATACTTGTCGAAACTATGACGCTTCTCCACTGTACTACGATCTTATTGCGTTTTTTTTTATATTTATGGAATAGGTTTTATGAAAAAAATACAAAAAAAAACCCAGCACAGGGGGGTCGCGGCACAGTGGTGACGTGGCATAGTTGGGTCAAGTATGATGATATCTGACAGTGATTAAAATCACTATAAAAAAAAAAAGCTTCGATGCAAATCTTTAGAGTATTTAATTTTAAAAAAATGGAGGATTATTCCAAAAGCTACATGGTCTGCTATTTCCTTATTAATATCCTGAATGAAAAAGGGATTATTAAAAAATATTATCTCTCATAAAAAAATTGTGTTGATCCATACACTTTTCAATAAGTTATTACATTATAAAGTTAAAAATGTAAAAAATAAAATCGAGAATTTTCGCACAATAATAGGATTCGGTAGCCATTTTCACCGTGAAGACAAAATAAAGTCCAATTTTTTTTTTTTCATAATAAAGTATATTACTTTACCTGTAATTTAAGATATATATAAAAGTGTCAGATCTTCTGGAACATTTTCAAAAGTTAAGTTGAAAAAGTTAATTTTTTGTGAAAAAGTTGTCATTTTAAATCCCCCCCTGTGGGCAGATAAAGGGTCAAATTTACAAAAAAAATATACCAAATAATAAGTAAAGACATCAAGCATCTATATAAAAAATTATATTGATATGTTCATTTTTGAAAAAGTTATAGTAGTTTTAAGTAAAAAAAATCGAAAATTTTTTGAAAATTAGCGATTTTCAAATTTGTAATTTTTTTGGAGGTTTCCCCCATTTACGGGAAACGAGGGAAATGTTTTCAATTTTTGAGGGTAATGTCGTCGACTAGATACGATTTTTAATCTTTTGACGTATCGTTGAAAGAAATCCGTTTGGTGAGAGCTGAGAAAAAGTGGTAACAGACACAAAAAAAAACACATCATAGTAAAACCAATACCTTCTCAGCTTCGCATCGAAGCTAATATGTAATGTTAACTATTTTTGTACTATTAAATTCTATTATAATCGAAATTGCAATTCTGGCCTAGATAAAAAACATTGTTTTACAGTCTGTCTTTTAAATGTCTAAACTAAAAATTAAAATACTGCTTATTTAGATTAAGTGTGCATAATTTTTATCTTAACTGCGAATAAAATATGTTTAAAATAATTAATAAAAAAAATATCGATGAAGAGCAGCAGTGTAAAAATATCTAGTTGTGTCGGTCATATTAATTAAAAAAAAAAAGTAGGCACTGTACTCATACTTCGGTTACTTATTTCAATAAAAATAAAAATGATTGTCTATTATTCAAAAAGAAAATTAAGCGTATCAGTGCACAACCCGTACGTGCGTAGTGCTGTGAATACCGCCGCAGTCGGTGCTCTACTCTGGAAAGGGCTCATGGGATTGTCAGTATGTAACAGGTTTGGGGACGGTGGTGGTAAAACTATTACGTCATCGAGTACGTCCCGTCAACGTAGAGGACTCGAGTAGGCGGCCGATACGTTACAACCGACAAAGGTGTTCAACAGGACTTCGGTTCGATCCCCACGCGGTGTTGGTGATTGGCTTGTTGCTGTTGTCTGGCTGCGGTAACGCGCAACGATGCCGTGCAGTGGAGACGGCGGCCGCACCGTGTCCCGTCGTGTGTAACAGGTGGACGTATACAACGGTCCAGTAGTCCGCAATCGCGTTGACAGACAGTTTGTGTCCAGTGCGTTTTGCTTTTTTTATCAGCGCGCGTCTTAATCGGTCCGATAATTTTCGTTGTTGCGTTACGATTTTTCCGTGTTCACTGTTTATTGTGTTATGTTTGTCTTCATTGATTTAATTATAACTTGTCGCCCCAAAACTGGAGGGTAGCCGTACAACGGACAAAGGTGAGTAATGTGTTGGTTTTTATTTTTATCGAAACGGTGGAATTTTTATAGAATTTTACGGAAAAAAACGTACTGGACGAAGAAGTAGAAAATTTCATGGAGCATAGTGTTTTTCTGTGTTGCGACGACTCGTTGACTATAATTGTATTTTTACGGATTTCCTCTTGTTAACAAGAAGAAAAATTAGTATTCTCGACGTGCTTTGAAGTTTTTAAATGCGTATATAATATTTTTTAATTCAGGCGACAGCTTTGCGTGTTTGACCGACACTTGATTTTAAATATTCGTATGAACTAACGAAATAAAAGTATTTTTCGAAAATACATCCATTTCGGTGGTATCTTATTTGTTTTTTTTTTTATGCACGAACAGTGAACAATGACCTTTTGTTGGCCGGTCGTTCGTCTATCAATGCCACCAGTCGTTTATGTATGCAGAGCTGTGTCATATTCGTCCAATGTGGAATATTGATGAACGCGTTACGTGTACCCCTAGGTTCCTGTAAATCTCACGCGGCTAACACGACTTCATGTGCACGTGTTTGGGATTTACAAAAGATATTTTTTTCAGACGGCCGTGTTCGGTTTCGGTGTGAGATCACACGTGTTTTATGTGGCCGCAATCCTTTTTTCGGACGATAGTGGTGGCGACAATATGACACGTCTGATCAAATAAACGTATTTTGTTGTCGCCACACAAACAACCGATATTTTTCTTTGGTCCTTTTGTTGGCGCATACCTGACAACATTTTGGTGGCAGACGCATGTCCTCGTCTGTAGTCGGTACGACAACATGCGGTTTACAATTACCGTGATTGTGTGAGAGATCTTATCGAAAAAATGTGATTATTTATATTATTGTCATTGTTTTATAAGATATATTTTCATTTCACACCTGACCAAAAACAACGTGGTAAATTTATGCCAAACAAAATAATGAGCCCTCCACTGTCCACCAGTTTATATATTTGTTTGTGCGTTGATGCCATGTTGTTTTGATTTGTAGAAAAACAGAAAATCGTTAATTTTTCAAACTAGTTAATGGTGTAATTTATATCAATACTTTTCGCCACTTTCAACAGAATATTCTCAATTTCGATGAATAATTCATATTTTATTTTTTATTGTGCTAATTAAAACCGCTTCTTTTTGGTTTCAAGCCTCATCACTGTAATAACAACAGCTGTTGTTGAATAATAGGTACCTGGTATTCTGACCGATTTTGTCAAAAGATATCTTAGTAGAGAAACTCTCATTAATGATGCTTGTTATGACATACAAACAATGGAAAATAATACAACTAAACATTTGTTAGTTTCGTCGTTATTATATACACTTTGAATTTCTACAATAAAATTATTTTTATCAGTTTGTTAATTTTCAGTTCAAACGGCCTAATTTAATGTATTATTTTAACTACATCAGCTATTGTTTAAAAATGACTACATACTAAATATTCTCAGACCTTTTCTTGAATGGAGTGTAACCGTTTGCAAAAATAATAAGTACTTATTTATGACAATATTTTCTCATAAACTATTTGGTACATGGAATGAGAAATGACTAGTGCGTTGGGTTTAGAGCTGCCTTGTCTATCATATATAATTGCTTATGCGCAAGAAGAAACAGTTAACTTGTGATTATGGAACCTTCGCAAAGGAAAAAACAGCACATGAATATTATCGTCGGTATAGCGCCCACAGGTTACAAGCCATTGCCGAATGACTTTCACTCTATTAAAATATTTTTGTAAAAATCTGTATTATTTATATCCGAAATTGCTAAATAATAATACATTGGCCGCAACATAAATTATTCTTTATAGAACGATTTAAATTGCTTCTCACGGACTCATCGTATAACTTTGACTTGTTTTTATGTACCGTCCAAAATGCAGAATTGGTTTGTTACTTTAACAATAGTTTTTTGGCATCTATGCGGTTCTCTAGTCCAATTAAAATTGTTGCGAGGATTTAGGTTAGATTTGGTGTGTATAATTTTTGTACCCGAAGTTATTATGATTAATTCTTCTAGTGCGTTAAAGTGATTAGTGCCACACGGATATCGTCGTGCTCCTTCGGTTGATGAACAATTATCATGTTTTGGGTAATTTTTTTAGACTCAAGAAACACAAATAAAATTATTTGTTGCGTGACTGTAGTTCATATTGCAAGGGAATTAAACGAACTTAATATTTCTTGACGATGACTTTATTATAATATTCGTTTTAAAAGAATAAATGTTTCTAATCATTACGAACATTTGTTACTTAAGTTCCTTGTATTGTTTGCCGACTAGTGGTTAGTTTGTTTTTTCATCTCATACAAATGTGTTTTCAAATACATCCTATGAAACAATTAAGAAAATATAATGAACTGTTATGTTGCTAATTATTGTACAGAGCTTGTCGTTTTTAATTAACTCTATTGTATTTTTGAGTTATAAACAGATTAAATCTCAAGTCTCATCATTTAACGTTTGATATCTTATAGTTTATATTACTCGAAAATTCGCTGTCTAGCTGTTTGGGCAACTTTATTTCCCCATATAATTATCTTTAGCGTATCTTATATGCGCAGGTCAAATATAATTACTATTGTTGTGGTCGGTCATGTTGGAATTTAGTGTACGAGTATATGTGTATAATGATTATGATATGATTCACTGGAGGCTGTTTACACATTATTTCCAAGACGGTCACGACTACGCGAAATCCAATCTACTCGATAGCACGCTTACATATTATCCATCTCATTACCCGTACTCGCTGTCTGTACCATCGTGGCAACATGATTATTATGAATGATATATTTTATCTGAAATTTGGAATTCCATTTGGAAATTATCATACCACGCACGGCTTTGTATTTTGATTTAGAGCTGGCGGCCTTTTGCCGAAGAAAAAACTAACCGTACTAGGTACTATAGATTACCTAATGTTGGCGTTTATGAATACTCTGTGAAAGTAGTAAATCAATGAAGGCCCGGCCAACGAACCATGTTCATTATCAGTCAAACGAGTTTCACCCTTCGGCGTTGATAACCCTCGACCCGACCAGAGCACTCTTTAGTCTTTAGTTTAATTGGACTCCATTTGTGTTTAAAACATTATGTTAATAATTAGTTTGGCAGTTCAATTCCGAAGAGGTTTCACATTATTGTTTCCATAAGGTACCCGTCAAAATTCACGAGAGAAAGGCGATCCACGAATTTTCATGAGTGTATCGATCATAAGATGTTTTGATGAATTTCACTCAGTCAGACATGACAAGCGTGGTATGATTATCTCATGAAGTATTCGACGGCCGTGTAATCAAACTATCACATAAGTAGTGTTAACTGCGTATAGATGACGAAGAAAGAAAATATAAGTATAAAGTAATAATCATAACATGAAAAGTGGGGGGTTGGGGAAACGTACCTATATGCCCCGAGCGATTTTTGAACGATCGCGGTGGAACGATGGTTGAGGTATTTGTTCACCTTGAAAACACTGTATAGATATTATTCTCTTGTTTGCTCCACGCCTCATTTTTTTATGCACGCACACGAGTTATCGTTGTTAAATAACAGTTAAACAGATCTCGTTTGGTCCAAAAGCGTAATATTATACTGCTACTATGCGCGTATGTTCTGATATTACAAATTAATATTAAATACATATTCCACTGTATACAGTAGAATATTTATTTTATACGATACTCTCGAAAACAGGTGGATACATAGGCAGACTGTTGGCACACCTGCTAACTGAATTATTATTATTACTTTTTATAATTCTCCTTATTCTCATCAAAGTAATTTTTAAGATATGTTGTATACGTTATTCCGGAAGTAGCGAGGGGTTATACGAGTACAATAGACGATTAGACGTCTGTTGGCAGTTATCTCAAACCGTTGGGAATGCATTACAAATTTTCTGCCGACTGAAACATGGCACTTACATATTTTTCCTTCTTTTTTAAGTGTCGTGACAGGTGGAATTTCCCTGTGTTTTTTAGCAAAGGGGACCGTTAACGCCTAACAAAGAAACTATGTTTTTTTCTGACTCAGTAATAAGTAAATTTGTTTAATAGTTAATTCAGAATACTAACAACGATTATTATTTTCAAAGGAACGTAGTTATTCTATTTCTTCTAGCTTTCATTAAGAATAAGCTTTCCAAAATCCGATTCCCGTATGCTTAGTATATGGACTTAAATCGTGTAGCGTGCCAAGAGTAGAACCGCGGAATGTTCATATGAAAAAATGAGTTCAAGAATGACGTTCAGCTATACCATTCATCAGCATCTAATGTATACAGGGGTATGATGGTATTTAAAGATTCAATATGATTCTATTTGACCATTGAACCGTATCTAATTCGGCGGACAAAAGTGTGTGTGTTCACGTAGGAAGTGTACATATATATCGTACGTGATCGCCAAGTCATGAAATGGTAGTCTTTTCTGGTAACGTCTTGTGCATGATGTAAGATCAACAAGGAAAGCCGAACCAGATTATCTATACTGTGATTTGTTTCTACATTATTCAAAGCGGATTGTGTCATGGGACTTCACCTGCACATTATTATTTCATGAACGGTAGACATGGTCGAAGGAGTTTAAAATCTTTTGGTTACTACTTCGTCAAATGCTCACGTAAAATCTAACATCCTAAAATTGAATAATAACGTATACGTTAACATATAAAAAGTATGTATTGTGTTGAATAAGGTAGTTCTATTATTGATATGCATATACAGGAACCGAATTCAACAGGTGTGCTCGCGTTCCGGTACTGTAGAACAAGAAAGCTCTGCGTTCACCCTCCTCCGGATTTCTGGTTGCTTGCTTTCCCATAGTGTCATGTAGTATAGTACCGTGTGGAACTAATGAGCTTCCGTTATCATACTATCTACAAATCCTTATGTATCCAGTTATACCTGCAACAAATCCGTTATGCATCGATACGCATACATGTATTCACCCAAACGTTTGAGGTTTCTCTACATTAATTAATAACAGTTTGTCTATTGCGATTTTTCCTCTGTCCTTTAATGTTCGGTATAAAAAACGATAATCGTCAACGGTTTTCATGCGAGGTCGTTATTAATTCTCGTGTACGTTAAATAGAGAATTCGGTTTTTTAACGATAACTTGTAGGCAGGTGTTTGATTATTTTTTATCTAATTAACGACCACATGTGATGGTATTTCTTTTTCGTACAAGTTATTTACTTAGTATTTTCAAGTATTAATTAAAAAACGGAGTTAACGAAAAAATGATTTTTAAATTTCGTGTGTAAATTATTCTCTACAAATAGTGCGCGTCAAATGTAAATTATTTGTTAAGGGCATTTAATTAAAAAATCAGTCGTGCAGCAATGATAAAATAAGACAAGCAATTAAAGTTATTGTTTTCTTACCGGGCACGGGCCACTTATTCCGTTGTGTTCCTTGGCCCATAGTCTGTGATATGAGAATACGCACAAACAATAGTAAACACACATAAACTATCTCACACAATACGCCGACTAGTCGGTCAGTGCGCTCGTTCGCCGAATAATGTGCACTTGCGCCAATTCGTCCGCCACTCAGCCGGCGTCGAGCGGTCGAACTACTGTGCGACAAGTAAAGCGTCTCAGTCGAGACCGGAAGTCGACTTCTGACCCCGTGATAGAGACTCTCCTCTATCCGCCGTCCTTATGTATGGCTTTATTATTTGGAAACGAAAATAATTACTTTGACATTGTTTATTAAAATATATCATGGTTAATAGTTAAATAATTAATATTTTTTTCTAATAACTACTGTGTTTGATTTCTAGGGGTCGTAGGGCTGACTAAGCCGACGCCTCCACCAAAACCAACGAGTGGTCCACTTCAGCAAAATCAACAACAGTCGACTGGACCACCGCCGTACAGAATGCCCCCGTATCCTTTGTACAATGAACCTTCACCGTTGCCTGGATCTAGCAATAAAATCCACACACACTCGAATAAATTTCCGGTGAGTTCATTATGTTCTATATTTTAAATTTGACCGATTATACATGTGAATATGTTGTTTTGGGTTATGGGAAAGAAAAGAAGCGTGCTCGTGAGAAAATTTCTTTGACTATTGGGAAATAGTACAACGAAAGTCGGCTAACAATTCTTAAAGCAAGCCCATATTTCTTGAAAAATTAAGAAACAAATATATCTACGTGACCACGATGAGTTTGATAACACGGGTGTAAAGTTCTGTAAAAGTGTCAAAATAAAAAAAATCTTTTGCTAGATAGAGTTTCAAATGTGACGTAAGTGAGAGGTAAATTGTGCGCATACTATTTGATATAAGAATAAAATTTCTCAGAATGTATTTATACGTGTCAGAAAAAAGGAGAATTGCTGAAGTTGGCATATACAGAAAACGTAAATAGATTTTCTCGTCTCGTCACATTCACGTCGTTAGAATTATTTTTTAATAAATGTAGTGATCAATTAAAAGTCAAACCGTATAGTAGCGAACGTAGTGTCATCAAGGATGTTACTACTAAGAGAGAGAAAATATAAAACTGGTTCAACTACTCTATAACCATAATAAATATCTTTACAATGTAAAAAAAAAAAAAAAAAATATATATATATACTTTTTTTTTTAGATTGAGAGAGAAGTGATACTTAGTAGTACCGACAAAAATTTAAAAATACCAATACTAAATGATTACAAAAAGAGACCAAAAGCTGTAGCACCCGACACACCTAATGTACAAATTGCTTGGTCCGAACAAACTACAAATACTGTACGTAGAATTAATTAATGACAATACTAATTTTTTTAACATTAATAATTTATTTGCTGTAATGTTGTTTTTCATAGCACGGGGAAAAATATTAAAAAAAAAAATATTATTTGGTTTTTCATTACTAGTTTATTATAAAAATATTATTTATAGTAAGTTTTTAACTTATAATAATATAGTATACACTAAATTTTTTATTCATATCTTTAGTATAATATTCCTCAAAATGCGCATCAGTACCATACTCCTAATCATTACGCTTTGATAAGCAATGATGGAACACAACAGAATGTTTATAAGGCTGAACCATTAAAAACATTGGATCCACCGACTGAACTGTCTCCTATTTATAGAGACGACTCCAATGGGTTTACTCCGTAAGATATTTTTTTTATATTCTAGAAATAGTTTTTTAATTCTGAATTATTTTAATTTTAGACGGTTGGAAATATATAATGCAGGCCCATTGCATTCGACTCCTGAAGATCCTAATAACACTAAAAAGTTTTCTTCTCGTATTAAAGATATGATTACTACAAGGTTTTCAAAAACCAAAACTGAAGCTGTTGTAGAACTCAACTTAAACAATGCTGAGAACACAGTACCAATCCCTATAAAACTTGATGATCCAGCAATGAGTCCTCACAGTCAATTAATTCAACATGGTGTATATTTAGCCGTAAATAATCAAATGCAAAGTTTAGTTATACAAAATCCAAATCAAAACGTTTATAAAACACCAGATCAGTCTAGAGTCAATACGGCTGGTCCATCAAGAACGTATGAAAGGCCTCATACTATTCAAACAAATCGAGAAATTGACCAGAGAAGACCAGAATCACAAATTTACAATAGCGATATGCCCCGAACTAGTGACTATGAAATCAGGGTGCAGTCTAATAACTATGGACACATTAGCCAGAACCCGTTATATGTTAAAAAAAGATTACCTGTTCAATTAAAACAACACCAACAAGAAAATTTTAAGACGCCTATGCCACCAGCAAAAATACAAGAAGCTCCTGCGCCTTTTCCTAGGTCTAAGTCTAACGACAATTTAGTCGAATCGAGTATTAATGGACAACAGACTATTGTACAGTATTCTAGTGATAGATATTTGGGTCGCAAAATATGTAAGCGAGATGATTTTAAATCTCAGCCAAGTTCATTAGATGATGTTGATAAGTTAGAAGAACAAAGAGCTGCTAGTGGTCCAATAAGTGGAGCGAGTTCAGATGGAAGATTAGGTAGTGGTGGTCAATCTGATTCTGGCCGAGGTAGTACAGTTTACAGTAGTGGTAAAGCTCAAAATTCTACTACCAGCCCTGAATCCTCATCAGAGTTACAACAACGTCAAGGTTAGAAATAACTAGTTATAATTCTACTATAAATGTCAAGCACTTTAATTAAATTAAAAATTTTATCAAAACTCATTTAAATGAATTTTAGGGAAGAAAGGCCAAAGTGAATGGATGGATTACGTAGACACTGAGCTACGGCAAATTCTTGATCCATCAAAAGTCAGTGTACCATCGACTCTTAGTGATAGTATTTCTTCTGTTACTCCTCCTTTACTACCTTTATCACCTGACGGATCTTCTGATGGTATGCAAACACCAGTGCAGAAACGGTACGTTGTGTAATGTATAAATTCATACAATTTACTGTCATTACATTATTTTTAATTTTGTTTGTAGTACGGAATATGTAGTAAAATCTCGGGGTCAAAATTCTAATCAACGAAATACATGGTCAAATAGAACATCAAAAGAAAAGCAACACAGACCAACGACGAGTTCGTCTAAACGGCCAGATTTAAGAAGAATACTTCATTGTAAGTAACTTTAAAAAAACTTTAACTTATTTTACAATTTTGATTATTTAATAATTTAATTTATAATTTATACAGCAAACAGTGTTGTTGATATGGACTCCTCCTTGTTCGATGAAGAAGCAAGCAGTGATGACGAGACCGTCAACAGTGATGTACGTACCATAAGAAAACAACTTGAAGGATTGGAAACCATGTACTCTGAGGTTGGCACAATTTAACAGAGAAATGTGTTCATTTTTGTTCTTCGTGCCGATTAAATTGAATTTTTATTTATATACAGGTATTAAAATTATTGGGAGTACGTAAATCTGGTGGTCCTAAGTACCAACCGTCTGATCCACGAATCCATAGAAGGCGTATGTATGGAAGTATGTCTTCTATACCATCGTCAGTCAGTAGTAGACCATATAGAGAAAGGCATCGTAAGTCGACTGATGATCGCAAAAAAACTGTTAAAGATATCAAAGTAAACAAATAATTTATGTCATTATATAGGATGTACAGTAATTATGGAAACAGGTTTTATTGTCCTTATTGATTATAACAATGAGCAAAACCTGTTTCCTTACTTACAGAACATTCTGTATACCTTTCATATAATCGATCAAAAAATCGTAATTTACAATGCATAATTTTTTTTAAGGGCATTAATAAACGATTTCAAAGATTGGAGTCACATGTCGTAACTCTAGCAAGGAGTGTTGCGCATTTATCATCTGAAATGAGAACCCAACATCTCATGATACAGGAAATGGAAGTTATTAGAAACGAACTATCAGCGCTGAGGACACAAACTAATATGTTATCAATTCGTTCACAGTCGGGACCGCGCGCACATCAATCATTTGGTCCTGAACAAGCCAATTCCAGTCCCACAAAAGTAAAAAAACTTACTAAATTTTTTGGTGACGAACCGCCACTTTTAAGACTGTTCTTAAAGAAGTTGGGCTATGAGGTAATTACATTAATTAAATTAATAAATCACGTACACCTTTTTTTGTAATATATTTAATTTTTTTTTTAGAAATATGCTTCAGCCTTTGAAAAAGAAAAGGTAGGTTTAGTTGAACTACCATACATGAGTGAAGAGAGAATGCATAAACTTGGTGTACCCATGGGACCACGGCTAAGGATTATGCAAGAAGCTCAACTAGGTTTTCCTGGAATGCATGAAAATACACTAGCCATAGTTTGATTTGTTGACGGTTTGACCCTTAAAAGTTGACCAATTTAAATATATAGCTGATTAGATATATTTATATATGTTAAACACTTATTTTTTAATTATTTGTAAATTTTATTGTTTGGTGTCATAAAATATATTTTATGTATATTAAGAATATTAAAAACAATATTTTATGTATAATAATATGTATATAATTTTGTATATTTTGTTATGGCAAACTTGTATAGAAATTGAGAGTATAGATATATCAAAAAAAAAAAAAAACAATATGTGTTACGAGTACGAGCTGATGAAGTGAAACTTCTTTCAGAGTCATTCAACTGATAGAATACTAGGTTTATACTGGAATAAAATAAAAAAATATATCTAAACATTTTATTTTCAAATTCTGTAAAGTTTTACTTCAACATTTTTTATGGGATGTTGTAATATTTGTACAATTTACTTTTAATTAAAAATAATACTGTGATAATAAATCATTTTACTTAATTAATAGTCTGGTCATAAAAATACAATAGAATTCACAATTGTTGTAATCTTTGAGCCTATACTCACCAGCAATACAACCAATTACTACTCGACGACAACACGTAGTGCATGACACTCATTCAATACTGTTATCAATTTCTATATACTTTTGGCAATATAAACATATGTTTATCATGTCATCTGAACTTTCTAACAATAAACTTTTTAGTTCGTCTACATGCCTAGCAAAGTTGTTAAGAAAATTACCATCGTAATTTTGAGATATTTCTCTAAATATTTTTAATGAAAAATTATTATGTGCAATACTTAAAAATCACACCATCAAAGGATTAATATCTCTTGAGTTTCGCATCGAGATTGAAAAATCCAATTAAAAAGATATTTAAAAAATCTTCCTTTATGAATGTGTTATACAAATTGATTATAATTGTAAAATACATTGTTAAATTCAGGTAAAATCCAAAATCTTATTTTGAGAAATTATTTATATAGGAACATGTTACCGAAAAATTCGGAATACTATAGAGTGATAATAGACCAAACAAATAATTAAGAAATTAAAAAAATATCAAAGTAAAATTATTTAAGTAAAATTAAAACTATATTAAAAATATTATTAATTTAAAAAACTATGAAGAATATTGAGTATAAAGTAAGAATATTGAATTTGATTCTGATCTTAGATTTAATATAGAGATGAACTGAAGGAATAGTTACACGAAAAATATTTGATTAATGAAAGTCGCTTAGTTTAGAGAGTAAATGAACGATCACAATCGTTAACTACCAGAGTTATCGAATATTTATCTTAGATAAATTAGAGGTATGTAAGAACATTCATTTGTATAATAAATCAATAATAACACCTTCACCGAAATATTTAAAGTAATAAGGATTCCAGTTAAAATAAGGAATAATAATAAGGAAAATAATTAGAATAAGAAGGTCGACGAAAATGAACTAATTAAATATTCGCATAGAAAATCTCGTTGTTCACAGCTCATACAGATTCGTTTATATAATATTTTTATGCAGTAATATTTCGTTGTATTTTTTATCATGTATTCAAATATATCTGACATATTTATGTATACACACATAATCCGATATCCTTCCATTATATTTTATTATTGTCAGTCACCCTACTTACCTCTGTGATGACGAGACCGATAGGTAGACTGCCAACAAACCGCTGCCACCATTGTATTTTTTACGTTTGATATTATATTATACATACTTTCTGTTTATTATAGTGATTTTAATCAATTTCAGATATTATCTATACTTGTTCTAACTATGCCACGTCCTAAATGTGTCGGGTTTTTAAAATTTACTAGTAGGTAAGGATACATTTTGAAAATGTTCAGTTTTTATAGCATCCCAAAAATTAAAAAAAACACAAAGATAACACAAATCTTTTTGATAATAAAATGTTCACAGAAATTTCTGGGCTTTATTGAATATCTCTTGTATTTTTCAATTTAGTTATTTTATAGATGACCATCCCCAATATTTCTCACCAAGAATCTAAAGTAATAGCAAAAAATACAATCAATTATAAATATTGACATTTGGATGTAACGACAAAACACATTAAATATTTTATGTTCAACAATCATTCTATGAATTACTTATTTTTCTACAAAGAACTTTGTTATTGACGTTTTTGTAGATTTGAAATGTTTGTGTTACGTTTCGATTAGAAGTTTGGAATAATAAAATACTGAAAATAATCAGAATACTAAGTGCAATATTTTATCTTATTCCTAGAGGGATCATTTTATAGTTATTTTCAGTAATAAAAATTTGTTAGATAAATAAAATAAAACATTTTTTCATTATATTTGATTTATTGAAATAAAAATTCATTTTAATGTTAAATATATAGTTATAATATAGTAAAATTATAATATATTTATAAATTGGATTGTAATAATTTAATTTAGTGTGTATAGAGTTCATAATAAATATCTGATAATAGAAATGATATAATAATTTTTTTGAATAAATTTTATTTAAAAACTCTATATGGTATTATTATATATGGTCCAATAAAAATATCTACTGAATACGTTGAAAAACTTTTTTGTTTTGACATTTTTACCTTTCATTTTTATACGATAGTTTTTTTATTATTAAAATGAGTGTTTTTAAGTATTTTGATTTTAACTTAATTATTATAAAAATATATGATATAAAAAGACACAAACACTTTAAAACGAAAAGTTTTATTAAATACTCAATATTGATGTAAAATATAAAAAAAGTAAGTCCTTAAAACACACCTAATTTATTTAGAATAATTATATGTTGTACTAGATGATATGTTGATTGAATTCAAATATACAAAAGTATAATGTAATGGTAGTTGTTTATTTAATAATTATTCTTTTCAATGGGCGTGACGAATCGGATCTCACGGACCACTTTGACGACTTGAGGAGTCAATGGTTTTGTTGGCTCCGGTTGTGGAAACTCGCCTCCAGTCGATGGTAAACTCGGGCAGCTCATTCTAGTATTTTTTAATATAAATATTATCTTATTAGATTCAAATGCTTTTGGTCGAATTGAATATAAATTGATTGATTAATGAAGATTTCAGTTTTATTTGATTATATCACTTTATGCTTAAAGTTAGTTAGCATGCATTTATAAATTTACAGTTTATTTGGGCGTTCTGAAAGGGGTAAAAAACATTTAAAACATATTCTTTTTTTACCTTTTATGTGACCATGATTCTTCGGGAACACAAAGATTATCTTTTTGTGCTACTGGGAAACAGGCCACTGCCAGTGCATCATTGGTTACCGAGAGAGAGCGGATGGACCCAAAAGGTTCATCAGGAAATAATGTGTTTCCTGCGACTAGTTCTCTACTACCTCTGGAAAGATCACAAATTAATATTTTATAAAACTTTTACACGTATGTAAAAAGTAATTTATACCCATGTTCAGAGTCGGTGAATATTAAAAACGGTTTAGGGGTTGGACAGGAAGATGTAGGACTAGGACTCCGTGTACTTCCGTGGTTGTTATTATGAGGGCATTGTGGTGATAAATCATCAATGGCTAATGTTTCTTGCGAACCTCTACGTTTTAATAAATCCAGACACGACCAAGGGGTTTGAGCTATATTTTCTGCGGAGACTGTAAAAAAATTTAAATTAGAATTACAAATGATAATAAAATTGAGGATGATATATATTGAATAAATTGAATAGTAAAATAGTTAATTTGATTGGTAATAAAATTAAGGATCATATATATTGAATAAATTGAATAGTAAAATAGTTAATTTGATAAAAACTTACAGGAGAATTTTCTTGGGTCCAGTCCTGGGCTAATAGGAAAAAAATCGCCATGGACTGGACAATGAAACCCAACTCGGGTTTGCCGTAATCTTGCTTTAGCGCTGACCATTCGCAGAATTGTAGTTCCAGTGAACATTATAACAGACATGATTAAACATATTGGACCAAGTAAGCGGCCATTGTCAGAATTCGAGTAAAATTTCTTCTTTTGTTCGTCGTCACTACTTACCCAACGATATGATATAACTGAATAAAAAAAATCAATATTGTTTAGAAAAAATATTTTTTAAACTTAAAAGAAAATTCAAGTTAAAAAATGTTTATTTTTATCGGTAAATATAGTTTTTAACGAATTTCAAAATTATTTTTACATTTTCTAATTTATATTGATTACTAACTCAATTGACGATGACACGTTTCTACGTGAAATTATATTTTTCTAATAATACATTATTACAAAACAAAAGTTTTAAAAAACCCATTAAGGACATTTTACCTGTAAGGACCACACCAATGGCCAAAAATAAAGTACCGAAAACTGGTAATGCGATTTGACAATTAGAACCGATGGTGATTCCCCAGATGGTGACCCCTCCGTTCACCTTCTCCACGGCAGACGACGATGAAGGGTATATATGCCTTGTGGCTGGCGGACAATGTTCACGAAAGCCAGCGGTCGGCGTCATTCAACCGGCGGTTATGGACGTCTAGTGGTTACGCTAAAGTGTAGGTGGACGTTTGAATAATTGGTTAATCGATATTATAGTGAAATAATATATGTCGCTATGCATCATTCATGAGTAAGACAGTTAATACATACACACATCGCCCTAGTGACCACCACTACCACCTCACCAAGTAAATAGCAATTAGTGAATGAGTGAATACGAATCATGCTATTGCCTTCATATTAGACCAATACGCGTATTTTCATTAAGTCAATACTTGTCATACATACAATTCATACTTTTATTCAGCTTTTGCAACTATTTCCAAATAAACTACCTAAATAAAAAATTAATGCAATTATTAGTTCTTGTAGCTCATTCGATCTATCAGTAAAAAATAGATAAAATTTTAACAATTAAATAAATTAGAGGTTTACCAAAGAAAATTTTAGTAAAAATTAAATACTGCTCAATTCAATAAAATATACTTAACACAATGATTTTTAAAAATGAAGCACAGTAGGGACGCTACATAGTTGGGACACAGATATTTAACAGTGATTAAAAACAATTTCATAAAAAATGCTTCGATATAAATTTGTAGATAGTGTTTAATTTTTAGAATGAATTGTTGGATTTTACCAAAAGAAAATCAAATTCCATTTTCTTAATTATATCCTGATAATAGTATTGTAATTTATAAATATAATATATTAATAAATACATACTATAGAAGTTAAATTTAGGATGAAATTGATATTCAATATTTTGTGTTGCAATTTTCATGGAAAAATTACAAAAAAGTTAATTATTTGATTAGGCAAACGTGTAAAAAAATTTTAAGTATGGATTAATAAAAAAAATAAATTAAGTTAACTTTCTTAAATTGATTAATCAGACTTTCGTTAAAGGTTAACTTTTCATACAAAAGATGCTATTCTGAATCTCCATGTGAGCAAGTGAAGGGCTAGCCTTTCAAAAAAAATATAGTTAATGAAAAGAAAATATCTACAGTATTTATAAAAAAAATTTAAATACTTTAATAAAACTATAAAGGAATGTGTTTCCTAACTTTCTAAGCTCAATTTTAAAATATCAATATTCTGTCGATAATTTTAGATAGTTTATACTAGAATGAAAAATTGTTTTATCGTTACTAGCAAATAGTGGTAGTATTTAGTATATAATACTTAAGTTGGACCATTTAAATAACTAATTGGGTTATAGGTTGTCGGGTATAATGAAAGTTCGGAATAAACAAAATTACTAATTACAAAATAAATAGTTACGTTTAATGGGATCCGGATTAATGAGGTTTTACTGTACTGACAAATATTTAATTGCGTTTGGCTTTGACCATAACCATAACCATAATAAATAATTCGTAGATTATTTCAAAATATACTTCAATTAAATATTTATAATTTATTATGACAATGTGCCATAATATGTTAGAGTATTAATGATTCGTTAATTATTTATAAATTATATACCCATGTAGAAAAAATATCTTCATCGTATTTAAGTAATCTTTGATAAGGCACTAATATTTTGTGATTTTTTTTTAGCAAGTTTCATTTATTTATGAATTGTAAACAAAAAATTTTAACTTTATCTGTTGTAATAAATAAACAGTAGTTTATACTTAATCCAAATTTCTATTTATTAAATTGGTTCTACTCATTTTTAAAGAACACAATTTGTGTTATTAATATTGTAATTTATTTATTTACACGTACATTTCTTATGGAGTTCTTTCTTTAGCATACAAATTTACCATAATAATTATATATTTTGTTTACAAAAATTTTTTTTATGTAACGTTCCATTTAGTTTCGATATAGAAACTGAGAAAGTAAGAATTTTACTATTATGTGTTTAAATTTTTATTTTGTCTGTCACTACTTTTTTTAAGTTTCTGAACTGATTTTTTTCAATGATACATAAAAAAATTACAAATGGCATTTATACACAATTTGTTACATTACCATTAAAAATTTTATAAATTCTCTCGTTCCAATAAATGGGGAAATCCCAAAAAATTACGATTTAAAAATCTGTAAATTATTGTTGAAATTAAAATTAAAATTTAGAGCAATAATTTATTTTATTGCTAAGTAAAACATTTATAGTTTGTGCTGATTTAGTATTACAAAATAGCAGGCTGCTATGTGAATTGTTTTTTATTCTGGCGCCACTGTCAGTTGCATTGTCATTACTGTTCCATCGTAGTTAGTGTCATATTATATTTGTTGTCTATTTTACTTTTAGAGAATTAAATTTTTATAATATTTTTGTTTAAACACTAGTTAAATATTATTTTAAACTCGTTCCTTTCAACACTTATAAATTAAAATATTTTTTTTAATAAACACCTTTGTATTTTTCTTCCATTTGGTATATATATATATTTTTAATTTTGATTTAATTTTTTTTTTTAATTTTTTCAACTTGACTTTTGAAAATATTTCCCAAATACTTTGTCCATTAAATATATATTAAATAAAATTTATTTAATGTACTACTAGTTAAAAAAAAATTATCCCGATACCTTGTCTCAGAGTGCTCAATTAAAAATAAAACACTAATTTTCTTGAAAACTATTAATAATTATTTTATTTTGTAAAGGAAAATATTGATTGACATTATATATTAATATCAAAATATTGTTTAATTAAAAAAACTTTTGAAAATTATGTGGTTAAATCATTTTTTTCTTTCCTTTAGGGAAAAAAGTCTACACTTTAATTTTTTTTAATGGAAACTACTATTTTTATTTTAATATGATAGATAAAAAAATTTCAATAAATGTTTTTCTCTTAATATTTTTTAATCGATTAGCATTCTTCTATTACTGCTTCTTAAAGTTTAGAGTTTTTTTGGCAAATTTCTATTGATATTTGCGCTATATTTTCATGATGCCATACATACAAGTTTTTATTAACAATTATTGTTATCAGATCTGTCAAATAAAAGAGCAAGAAAAATGCCGATGATAATTTATGGCCTATTGAATCAGATTACGGTTGTTTTCGGTTAGGCGGTCAACAAAGGAAAAATGGCGGATAAAATTTCCAACCAAATTTTATTTTAAAAAAAAGTTTATTTAAGATATGTATAATAACATACTAAAAGTCCTCATTGATTGGAATTGAGCTTTTTTTTTACAGACTCGCAAAAGTTCAAAAATATGAATTTTTTCAATTTCTTCAAAAAATATTTAACTTACAAAATAAAGCTTCGTACAAAAGTTGTTTAGAAAATAATTTTATATAAAAAAAAGTATCTTTTTTTTCATTTAAACAAATATTTTTTGAGTTACATTTTATTTATATGAGTACTAAAATTTATTTTCCATTTTACGGTTACTTTTTATCATGTTATACATACATTAGACACAATATTATAAATGCATATGTGTGTATGTGTGAGTTTATTTATTTATAGTATCATTAAAGTGTAGTGTATATTAAGATACAACCGATAGAGTAGGTAATTGATTTGACGCTATATTGTTTAAACCCAACCAAACGCTAAATTGTACAATTTCAAATAAAAATTATATTATATCAATTGCCACCGTTATTTCTGGTAATGATAAATATAATTGTCATAAAGCGTATTGGCCTTTGGTCAGGTGCTGGAGCTGGCAAAAATTGTAGTTGCTTGAAAACACGGCGTAAATGTTCTATTATAAGTGAACATTGCAAAGGTCAATGGCGTACAAATTCAAAGATTGTATTTTTTTTGAAGATATATTCTATCAAAATTTTATCCTTGTAACATTTATTTCAATGTTTAAAAAAAAAATGAAGTTAGTACGGTAAGTTTAATTTGATATAATTTTTTTAATTGTCCAAATTTATAGAATTTTTGTATTTTAATTAGTAATATTAGATACAGATTTATATCAGTGTTCACGCCAGGCAGTAGTGCCGCCTCCGTGGTCAGCTGATACCACTGTCGGCCTTATCAGTGGAGCCGGTTCGGTGAACATCGGTCGGCGGCTGCCCGAACACGTTTTTGTTTTTGTGTGTTGTTCGGACTACTATTTTTTTTAACCTCGTCTTTTTTTTTTTCGGTCGGCGGTGCCCCGAGCACATGGTTTTTATGTCGCTCGCTCGGATTATTATTGTGATTAACGTTATTGTTAATTCGGCGGATTCACGCATATTTTCTGCGGTTCGCGTAATACTATGTTAAGTCATCTGATGGACTGGTGGCTGGTCAATTTCTAGTTGGCGAATTTACGGGTACTCTCTGGCGGCCCATTACCGTTACGTTTAAATTGGTCATATGTTGCTGTTCTGGACGTTAAGGAAGTGAACGGCATGGAAAGGTGATCACCGAGCATATTTGCGGACCAGGTCGGATCTATTATTATTAATGTAATTATTGTAACAAATATTGTTAATTGTTATTTAATGTTATTTTAAAGTTGGGGACGCCCAAATTCATTATTATTATAAATCATTATATTATAAGCTGATTGTTATAATATATCATACTTTATTTATTTCCACTGCGTAATTGTGTGAAACATTTTGGTAACCAGAGCGTGGTTTTGATCTACAAAAAGTCAATAGTTTTGTTTTGTTTTTTTTTTTTTTTGAAGGTATTAAAATAATCACTGGTTTTACTTATATTTTGTGAACGGGTTCAGCACATAAATAATTTATTAAATGATTAATTAAGATATAGTTGAATTAACAGCAAAAAATTAGATTGGTTGAATAGTATGTTTTAAAGTTAACATTTTGTTAGTTGATTAATTACTTAATTATTTAATTGCGGCAGCGGCGTTACAGCTTAGTAATAGTATTTACAATTAATTTATACCTTATGTTTACTTAGTACAAAAAAATTAGTAGTTAATTGTAAGTGGGGTTTATTAAAAGGAAAAATTAATTACCTCATTATTGTGGATATATGTGTTGGTTTTGTACGGTTTTAACAACATTATTGAAAGCTTGTTTTCAGTCAGCGGATTAAAATTAATTAGTTTATTTTATTTATAATTTTATTTGCTTTTTCTGGTTTTTTTTTTGTTGCTAATAGAATAATTCATTCTAGTATTTTATATAGCTATTACAAATTTTGTTTTGTTCGGAAAATTTTTGAATATTAGTTAATTAAATTTGCTGTATGTTTGTCGGAAAAATTAATTTTTTTTTAAATAAGTGTGACAAACTGTCAGTAAATTCAATCTGCATCATTGGAGAATGGAGATCGGTTCCACTAATTAGTGATCTCTATCGGTAAAGTTGCAGTCTTACAATTCTCTGATCGGAGTCGGTGGTTTTTACATCGGATGTGAAAACATTTAGTAATCAAGAAATTTTTTGTTGGAAATTATTATTATTTTTCTTTGATTTTTTTTTTTATTTTTATTATTTTATATTAATTTATTAGTGTTCTTCCGTGGTTTTACTTATTTATTTATTATTTTTTTTTTTTTTCTCTTTCTCCTTTGGTTGTTCAGTGAAGAGGTCTATATACTTATTTGGAAACCATGACGGAAAGAACAACACGTGCCAGGGATAAAGCGCTAACTAAGCGGGAAAGTCTGTTAATGAGTATTCGGCATACNGAGAAAGTCTGTTAATGAGTGTTCGGCATACTTATACGTTAGACACGGCAGCAGTAAAAGAGAAAAAGGATGTGGGACAATTTTTAATGATGGCTGCTGACATCGACGCCCTTTGGGAAGCATTTTTAGTTGAAAATGAAGCAGTACTAGACGCTATGATTGAACTTAACGAGTTGGACAAATTTAAGCCTGAATTGGAGCCGGAGATTCGAGCGTTGGTCCGCAGCGTATCAGCTATGAGAGCTGAGGTAGAACAAGATGGCATGGCAGTCAGGAGCAATTCAAATGGTATTCAGGAAGGAATTCAAAACACTGTGGTACCATCTATCGCTTTTCCTCAGGCTTCCACTTTGTCAAATGGCGTTATAAGAGATCCAAAACTTCCAACCATACCGCTACCTAGGTTTGGTGGTAAATTAGATGAATGGTCGGCATTTAGTGGGCGTTTTGAGTCTCAAGTTGTTCAGCACAATGAATTAAATAATGAAGAGAAATATTTCTATTTAATGGGTTGCTTATATGGAGAAGCAGAAGAAATTACAAAGGGTTATCATCTATCGACCAATAGCTTCACTCTTGCTTGGGCGGCATTGGAAGACAGATACAATAAACCGCGTCAATTAGCCAATTCTTTGGTGGAAAGATTGCTTAATATGACACGTGTGGGACAAGAAACGGTTGTTCATCTCAATGAGTTCTTAAAGGTGTTTGAAGATTCCATAGCACTATTACACACTCTTCCTATACCTGACGTGGGTGACTTTGTGTTGTTTACATTAGGAATGAGGTGCTTACCAATAGGTTGTAGAAAAGTTTTTGAATCCGAATGTGGTGGTAGCTTTCCATCGGTCGAGGACTTAATTACATTTGTGAAGGAACGAGCAAGAATCCTGGAAAACGTGGGAATTCAATCAGCAGATAATAAAACCACGGACAATAAATACAAATATGGCAAATTTAATTACAATAAGCAATCATTCACATCCAAAACTGCTCTTATTGCTCGCCAAACTGGTACCAAGGTGAATAATTTGGTTAAATGTTATGTTTGTGATGCCCATCACAATTTACCAGATTGCGATAAATTTAAGTCTTTGACAGTTGCTGAGCGCTTCTCCATTGTTAAGGCTCATCGGTTGTGTTTTATCTGCCTTTCTAGTCAACATTTAGCTTTGAAATGTAAAGCTGCTAAATGTAATAAATGTTCTTTTCGTCATCATTCGCTGCTGCATCGGCTTGCTACAGAAGTACCTTCTCAAGCAGACAACAGTCCTGCCACCCTGATGGGTTCCCTGCCACATACAATGGTGGTGTTAGGCACTGCTCTTGCTCATGCCCGTGATTGTTGGGGTAATTCGCAAATTGTCAGAGTTTTGATTGATTCGGCTTCTCAGATTAGTATCATAACTGCCGGATGTGTAGAGCGTTTGGGACTCAGTCGTACTCGTTGGACCGCTCCTATCTCTGGCTTGTCGGGAGTTAATGTGCCTGGTATAGATGGTGTAGCTCATTGTACTTTAACCCCTCGGCATGCTGATGAGCCGAAATTACAATTTAAGGCATGGATATTACCCAAAATCACAGGAGAAATGCCTCACGGACCGTTGACTCCAGACATTCAGAACAAGTATTCTCATTTAGCATTAGCCGATCCTCAGTTTTATAAGCCAGGTCCCGTGGATATGTTAATCGGAGCAGATTTATTCCCTGCAGTCATGGATGGTAAACGTGTTGTGGTTAACGAAAGGATGCCAACAGCATTCGGCTCGGTGTTTGGTTGGGTTCTTATAGGAGAAGATCGCTCTACAATTACACCAGCAGACCAACAGCTTTCAATGGTATCTTGCTTTCATGTATCCTTGGAGCAATTGATGGGAAGGTTCTGGGCAATAGAGGAACCGGAGGAGGCTCCAATGCAATTTACAGATGAAGGACACTGTGAAGATATTTTTCAAAATGAAGTGGACCGGGCGGAAGATGGAAGATTTATCGTGCCACTACCTTTGAGAAATGGTTATTCGCCTGAGTTATTTGCTGACTCGAAGCAAATAGCTATTAAGAGGTTTCTGCAACTTGAGAATAAGTTATCCCGAGATAAAATGTTAGCCGAACATTATCAGGCCTTTATGCAAGAATATGAAGCACTAAATCACATGTCCGTTGCTAAAGAACCCGGTGTATATTTCATTCCCCACCATGGGGTGTGTAAAATGGTTGAAGATAAATTGAAATTGCGGGTCGTATTCGATGGGTCGGCTCGTGGTGTATCCGGTAAATCACTCAATGATCTTCTGTATCCAGGACCAAAGCTCCAGCAAGATGTAGTAGACGTGTTGATCGGGTTCCGTTCTTATCGAGTTGTTTTTACGGCCGACATTTGTAAAATGTACAGACAGTTCTGGATCCATAAAAAATATCGGCCTCTACAACATATTTTGTGGCGTTCTTCCCCTAAGGAAGAATTAAAAGAATATGAATTAAATACTGTCACTTATGGATTAAACTGCGCCCCTTATTTAGCTTTAAGAGTTCTCAAGGAGATAGCGATGGAGGTTCAGGATGAAGAGCCTGATATAAGTAGAGCTTTGCAAAGCTCCACTTATATGGATGACATCTGTACAGGAGCTCAAACCTTGGAAGAAGCTAAACGTCTACGTGACGCCTTAGTTCATGTGTTGGCAAAGAGTGGTTTAGAGTTGAAGAAATGGTCATCAAATTACAAAGAAGTTTTGGCTGGAATTCCTGTTGAAGACCAATCGGATATGTTGGATATTGCGGTCTCAGACGGAGGAGGCGTAAAAGTACTGGGTATGCGTTGGCTTCCCAGCAATGATGAGTTTAAGTATGACATTATACTTGGTGAGCGTGTGATGACGAAGAGGAGTCTGTTGTCGACCATCGCCCGCTTGTTTGATCCGTTGGGTTTGGTGGCTCCAGTGATCTTCTATGCCAAAAGTATAATGCAAGAAGTGTGGAAATACGATCTACAATGGGACTCTTCCTTGCCATCTAGTATCATGGAGCGTTGGACAATGTTCCTTGACGAATTGGAAGACTTGAAAACCATTCGAATTCCGCGAGTTATTTGTAGTCCCTCGCCAAAGCAGGTAACTTTGTGCGGATTTTGTGATGCGTCCACAAAGGGCTACGCAGCTTTAGTGTATCTGCATTCAGTTGATGATACTGGTAATATAAATGTTCGGTTAATAGGTAGCAAAACTAAGCTATCCCCAATGAAGCCTACCACAGTACCGCGGTTAGAGTTGTGCGCGGCGGTTTTGTTATCCAAGTGGTTGTCGCGTATTCATAAATTATTATCATCGCATATGAACATTGATACACTGTACGCGTGGTCAGATTCAACGGTCGTATTGTCATGGATTAACTTACCACAGGTTTCATTTAAAATATTCGTGTCCAACCGAGTCAAGCAAATTCGTGATTTGTTACCCAATTGTGAATGGCGTTATGTACCTACCTCTATTAATCCGGCCGATTGTGCATCCAGGGGTGTATTGCCCTCAAAATTAAAATCTTCAGTATTGTATTGGAACGGCCCAGATTTTTTGAAGAACGAACCACGGGTTTGGCCGTCGTCTATTCCTGTTATGTCAGCGTCTGAACTGCCAGAGGTCAAAACTAATGCAGTCACGTTAGCGATCGTTGAAAACTCAGAGGTTGAATGGTTTCACCGATTTTCATCTTATACGCGTTTGATTCGAGTTGGAGTGTTATTGCGGCGTTTTATGTCCAAAAGTCGCGGGAGGACTTCTGCGTCGAACTCTTGGCCTCAGAATGAGTTAACAGCATCCTTGTACGCTATTGTAATGCACACACAAAAGATAAGTTTTTCTGCGTTAAAATTGGAGTTGGAAGGAGGACGACGAGTATCATCAAGGTTGTATGCGAGACTTGCACCTTTTATAGATTCACTGGGACTTATTCGAGTCGGAGGCCGTATTAAACATGCGTCACTCGATACCAATCAAAAACACCCATTGTTGTTGTCTAGTCAGTCCCATTTAGCTTTGTTACTGTTCCGGTACTGGCATATTGTAGGTTGTCACTCCGGACCAAAATTTATGATGAATATGGTGGCCCGCCAGTTCTGGATAATTTCTGCACGGAAGGTTGCAAGAAGAGTAATTAAAGAGTGCGTGAAATGTGTTCGATTCGCCGCTGTAAATCCCCAACCTATGATGGCTCAATTACCGGCGGTTCGAGTTCAAGCTAGCCGTCCGTTTTCAAATGTGGGAATTGATTATGCTGGAGCATTTGCCATGAAAGAGCAGCGACTTAGAAAATCACGGGAGTACAAAGTTTATGTGGCCGTTTTCGTGTGTATGACCACCAAGGCGGTCCATTTGGAAGTAGTGTCGGATCTATCCACCCCCGCATTCTTAGCGACATTAGACCGTTTCGTTAGTAGAAGGGGACTACCATCACAAATCTATACGGACTGCGGAACCAATTTTGTTGGAGCAGATAGAATGTTGCAAATAAAACATTGACTACCAAAGTCAAATAATTTTGTTTCCTCGTATAGAGCCCTCTAATACAAAAAATAAGAATTATGTATTAATTATAAAATTTTAAAGGGAGGATTTTTGAAATAGTCACAGTCAGATAGTATCTATACTTGTCCCAACTATGCTACGTCCCCACTGTACTGGATTATTTTTACATAAATTAGAAAATGTTACTTGATAATCTATGAAATAATGTTAGATTAATTTTTTGAGTAACAATGTACTTTAGGTCAAAGAAAATTTGTAGTTAGAATCTGAATAACATGTTTTAATTATTTCTATACTTTTTCATCGGACATTCCAAATTGTATTGATTAACATGCATATTTTACATTTACTATGGAAATGTCCAAAGAATAAAAGTAATAAAAATTGTTAATAATTACATAAAATCTGTGTATATATCAATTATATGGTACGTAGTGGTGACCTTTTTAAATAGCAACACTTTGTGTATAATTTGATAGCATTATAATTATTATGAGTTCCATTTAAAGAATTTTTATACCTAACTGAATATTTTTTATTAAATGTTTAGATGGGATTCATATACTAATAATAGGATATACAACACGGAAACATAGTTATATTAATATAGCAAAAAAAAAAAAAAATTATAGAATTAAAAGAACTATCTTATATAGAAGGTTCAACTGTATATAATAGTTCTATCAATTATATAAGTTGTCGATATATTTATAATAACTGTATAGTTTTTTTCCGTGGAATGGTTGAGTGATTTATATGCATTTCATAATATTTTTATTTTCACTTTACTCTTATTAGTTTTCATAGACACCCATAAGTTTGATATTAATAAAATTTGCTATAAAATCAATAAAAAAACATGTTTCTAAAAAAAGTGTTGATTTATTTAGTATTTATTATTAAAAATATTGAAATTTCTATGACACAATTAAGACTAATAGTGAGTAAAGAACCAAAAATTATTTCCAAAATGAGATGAAATATAATTACCTGGCCATAAATTATTTAAATTTATTCAATGAAATGTTTCTTGAATAATTTTAATATTTTATTTCTATATTTCATTTTTAAGAGAAAATTATAGTTGGGAAAAACAGTTTTTTTAGTTTTTCCTAAACATGGACCAATAATATTCTTCGTTTATTACAATGTATTAAGTTTATATAATGTGTAACCATAATTTTTTCGAACTGGTTGGCCATGAGGTTATATAAGATTTTTCAATTTTTATTTCCTTGTAAAGATAATATAACTTTTAACATATTAGTTTTATTTTATTTTGAAAAAGAAATAATGACTTTTAAAGTAACAGAATAACTAAATATTATTCTATTTAAACGAGGGGCCATATTGGTTAGATATCAAAGAATACCAAAGTTGTGCCTCAGACATTGACTACTCAATTAAATTTAATTTGTTTCCACGTAAAGCCACCAAATATTCTCAATTCTTATTTGGCAATATCACATTAAAGCAGCCCTTAGACGATTCACTTAGTGTGAGTAATATTAATAAAATAAATATATTTTCAAATTTTATTTTAGCTAAACACATATTAAACACCTATTAAATATTATGTATTTTAGATTAATATGTTAGCAGGAAAACACGATTCTTTTGGTCAATGGAAAGAAATTTCTTTAGTAAATGTAAAAAATGCATGTTTTTCAATGAAATCTGGAATGTTTGGAGAGAAAACATGGAAATATGTTGTTGATGTTTTTCAAATTCCAACTATAAATTGTCCTTGGCCTGTGGTACAAATAAAAATATCTATAACAGATTATACAATTTTTTCATTTTATTTAAAATTTTCAAAATTATTTTTATGCTTTTATTAAAATAATTTAGTCGAGACATAAATTAAATTATTCTAATTTTTTAGGTGGAAAAAATATAGCACATTGAATTTTAATAAACCTATAATAATTTATAACTTATAGTAATGCACAAATAATAATGTATATCACGCTTAAATAGTCATAATCAGTAAAAAAAATGAAGCAATACTACTTGGCGTCTTTCATTAATTTTCAGGGACATTATATTTCAAAAGGATTTGATACGGGTTCATTTAAAGATAGTAATTTACCAAAACAGTTTATTTATGGAAAGTATTCTATTCAGGTAGTTTTACTTGACAAAAAAAAAAAAATAATCAGTTGCACAAAAATTTCAGCAGAATTAAAACCATATTCTTAATGTTGTTTTCAACACATTTTTGAAATCAAAGTACTAGCAAATTTTTTGTTACGTTAAAGATATAATAAGTAGTTGATAGAATAATTAAAAATATACTCTATTTAGTTATAATTGATTATTATGATAATGTAATATATTGTATTGTGTGTAATTCTTACTTAGTATAGTCTATGTGATACTCTTTATTCATAGTAAATACATCTTTACTCATAAACAGCATATTTTTAAAAAATATTCATAGTTATACATCTAAATTCCTTAAAGATCTTGTTTTTCAAAAATCAACTTTTTTATGTTAAGCCGTGGAACGGTGATTCAATCTATACTTTATACTTATTTTGATTAATAATAAACGCAATAATTATGGTTATTATGTCCGTGCGTGATCTCATGCGTTACGTTACTGTTGTTACTTATCAGAAAACTATTCGGTATCTTTATTGCTGTTTAATATTATAAAATTTCTTTGAAAAACCGCGCTTGTACAAATGATTTAAGTAGAGTATTGCAGAATGTTAATTGGTAGTGAGATGCGCGACATTCTGAAACCATCAGTTATGTCCGTCTCCAGTCTTTTATTATCTGAAATGATGACATAATGTTAGATAATTTATGATAAGTTTGACATAGAAATAATGATATACAGGGTGTAAATCTTTCGAACCATAGTAATATATGAGTGAGTATCCTGGTAAAATGTAAAATAGGACCTCTTTTTTTTTTTTTTTCCAAAATTGAAGGAATATTGGTATAACCCCCCCGAATTTCTCTAAAACTAAAAATAAATCTTACGACGATATTTTCCGCAAAATTCTCATACAAATTGAGTGGTGTATTTTACGTAAAACTCTGAATTTTTCTGACATTTTGAAAAAAATGATAAAAATTCAGTGGTCAATTCGTAGATAGCAAACGAGAAAAGTCAGATAACAAATTGTTAAATATAAAAGTTATAGGTAATTTAATATTATTTAATTTTATGTAAAAAAAAATGAAAATCGGTTAAATGCAATTAAAGATATTTAGAATATAATAAAAACACTTTTTCGCGGCACACGAAAAACGCTTATTTCGCAATAACTCAAAAACTATTCTACTTTTTGTATTTTGGACTTCATTTTCGGACTCAGTGGACGATTTTATATAGAAAATGACTATCATAAATCATAGGTCAATTTTGTTGTAAACTAGTGTTATATATGCATCACCAATATAATATAAAATCAAGCATTTATATAAATCACAAAAATATATGTATAGCATGACAGGTGGTCTTGTAACACGCCTGCCATGTTGAGGGACCTATATAAAAAATAGGGACACCTACAAAAAAAAACTCTCGCTTCACGTACTTATGGTACGGCACTAAAAAAAAAATTCTGGCTCCAAATATTAGCTAAAAATTAAACATTACCAGCCATGAAGGGCTAAAGAAACTGGAGGCAGGTTTAGCCAATGCCAACAAACGAAAAAAATACATTATAAACCACAGTAGCGAACACTCACGAAAAATATATATAAAAACTTCGATGTTGCAGCGCACCAACAACACAAAACAGACTCACGCTACGGACGAAAATTAACCCACAGCCAGTTCCGACAATGGCCAATTTTCGACAAAACGTCCGGCGGTTCGTTGGGGACATTATGGCTAGCCTTTAGAGTAGGGGTCAAAAAAAAATTAAATACCCAGTGCCGGAAACTATTAAGAACAATTCGAATCAAGTATGTGTTTGGCATTGCAAATGACGTTCAAAATAGGAAAGGAGCGGGGTGAGTGTACACACAAATGTCGACCATGAACCTGTCTCAAGTAGTACTCAGCTGACTATCTCGCACGCGCTCAAACAAATTATAACACCTTATTATAATTATTTAAATAATAAATGCCGTCGTAACACGCATTCGGCTCAACCAAGATAAGTTAGAACACACACATATATATATATATATAAATAGACAAACAAAATAATCAGATACTCTTCTTTACGTTACACAATAAACTTATAATTTTAAACTAATTGATATTTTTATACATGTGTAGTTAGAATAGTACGGTCGAGAAATATCTAGTGACAAAAATAGTTATACCCGTGTCTCTCGATCAGTTTATATTTTAAAAATGTTATAAAAATATAGGTATTTGGAGAGGATTATACACCCATGGACTCCTGTTCATCGAAATCTACCTCTTAACACCATAAGATTTTTTTCTATAATTTATTAAAAATGTACCAAAATCAAAACTATCTTACTTTATAATAAAAAAAATCTATGAATAAAAAATAGATAGCATAATTGTTCCTATACTTAGTTTATGAGGCATATCTTTGGAACTGGATTACCTAAATATGTATATTGTCGATTTTGTTATGTACTTAAAGACTTTCGATTCCGTAATAAATTTTTAGTAGTAAAAAAACAAAATTAAAAACCTATCGTACAATAGTTGTACAATAACAGACAAGAGTTTAAAAATGATATATAATTACGTATGCATATAGTATAGCGATAATAATCTACAAAATAATATTTCATAATATTTGAATCTAAAAACGAAATTCAATGGAAGCATAGTTAGACGATTTAGTATTTTAAATTAAATTCATATATTTTCTGTACCTTACACAAATTGAATTTCTATTCACCGAAAAACGTTTCCTACTTTTTGATTGTCATTTTCAAATATATAGTAGGAAATTAATTTCAATAAACGCGTAAAATATGATGGTAAAAAGAGTATTAATATTATTACTATTAATTTTTGAAAATATGAAATCTATTAAGACACAATTAAAATTAATGGTGAGTATAAAAAATAATTCGATTTTTTATAAAACTGGATCAGTTTGTATGCTATGGTCAGACATGCATTGAGCTCAATTTTTAGATCGATAAAATGGGATATTTTGTTTACTTAATATACAGTAGACAAAAAATATAAAAACGGTCTTAAAATATTTTATTTAAGTAAATTTATAATTACGGTAAAAGTATTACTTTTAATTACATAGTATTTATTACGTTTTAATTTATTGCCATTTGACGATTAAAAACGAAAACATTTAGACTGAAAATGTTAACTATACTGATATTTTTATTTTGACGTGTATAAATTAATTTTCTTACACATTTTCAAAAAATAATTATTTATGCTGTACCTGTAGATTAAAATTAATATATAAACTACGTACGAAAAAGTAGAAATTAAATTAAATGACATAGAGTAATTTTGTGTGTGTCATTACACCTAGAGTCGGGCTACACGAGAGCACATTAATTATACTTTGGAAACAATATCATAGTAAAATATAATATGTCTACAAATAATTTTCACTCTCAATGTGTTTTAAAATAAATGAAAGAGAAAAAAATATCTCAGTTCAGATAGTTTTACCTACAGTTCAAATTAACACTTACCTTCACCAACTTACCCCACTTTCCTTAGATATCATTTTTTTTTTATATATAGTCAAAAATATTTCCTAAGATAATAAATAACCAATTGTGTATGTTTTATAATTTTAAACAGCTAAACTTTTTATTTATAACAAAAATCGATCAAATCAAAATTATGATGAATATTATTGTAAACAATTACCTGTCTATCAATATTCTTTTTTTTTTTTAATATAAGTTAATGGTAGATTTAAACATAGTAGAAAATTATATCAAATTTTTTTTTATTTTTAATTTTGCGTCAATCGTACTTCTTGTGTACCTACACCGAATATAAATTTATTAAACGTACATAATGGTTAAAAAAAATATGAACAAAAAATGTTATTTATCTAATTTTCTGCCCAACTTTACCATAATTTGCCAATTATAGTGTCACAAAATATTTTCCACTTGATTTTTTAGCACATACTTATTTGTAGGGTTAATCTCTTTTCCAATTAAAAAATCTCCAAATAATAATTTCATTAAACTAGCCATATACCTATTATGTTGAGCTCTGACTGTACTGTTTTTCTTTCATAATTAATAGGGGCCTTTTTGGATGGATATTAAAGAATATATTAGATGTAATTCGAGCATTGACTACCCAATACAATACAATTTGTTTCCATATAAAGTCACCAAATATTCTCAACTATTATTTGGCAACATCACACTCAGACAACCTTTTGACGATTCAATGAATGTGAGTATTATTAATAAAATGTAAAAATAATAATTTTGAATTATTCTTTGATTAACACGTTGTTATCGAAGATGAATATCTTAGCGGGAAAACATGACTCTAATGGATTATTCAAAGAAATTTCTCTAGTAAATTCAAAAAATGCATGCTCTTCAATAAAATTTGGTATGTATGGAGAAAAAATATGGAAAAGATTTGTAGATGCTTTTCAAATTCCAACTATAAATTGTCCTTGGCCTAAGGTACGACGTTACACAAAAAAATTACTATCATACATTTCATAATACATATATGTATATTATTTTTACAGTTATATAAATTTTTAGGGATTTTACATATCAAAAGGATTCGACACGGCTGTAGTTAGAGAAAGTAATATGCCTAAAATTGTTATTTACGGGCAATACACAGTTCGCATCCTTTTTTTAGACAAAAAATATAATATGATCAGTTGCACAAGAATCGTGTTAGATATAAAACCCTATTTTTAAAGTACTTACACGTACAATTTTTAATGTCTAAGGATCAAACAATTTTATTTAGAATGCATCTATAAAAAATTGTATAAAAGATTCTAATGAAACATTGAAACTTTTAAAGTAACTAAGTATAAGGAATAAACTGATTAATTTTTTTTTTATAAGTATATTGTTATTAAACTAAAATATTCGATAAATTTTTAAAAATATTCGTCTTTACAAAGGGTTTTTCAATATTTTTTTTTTGTATCTTAACTTTTATTGAAAAAAATGACTTGAACACCTCTAATATACGTCTTTTTTTAAAGTTTTATGGAATATACTTCGAAAATTCAAGGTCAAAAGCTTAAAATGTTACATGCCTTGACTTAAATTTTTCCAAATAACGTCAAATTTTCAAAATACTTTATTATTATTACAAAAGA